CATAGAAAACGCATACAAAACAAAGCAGATGTACAGGCAAACTGGGGTTCAACAGCAAAAAGACAGTATAGAACAAATAGAATAGTGCGAGAGTTCGCCTCTATTCTCTGTTTGAAATCTGGTCGCTTTGGCAGCGGTTGTGATGATGTCGGTCCATATTAATGAGATGAAGGAAGTGTCGATGGTCTGGAGTGCTTAGGATCTTGGTAAGTCCGTCTGCTGGGTTCTCTTTTGAGCGTATGCTCTCTATGCTGACTAGGCCAAGGGCCTGTAGGTCCCGAACGTGATGAAATCGAACGTCGATGTGTTTGGACCTCTTGGTCCCCTCCGTTGAGGATAGGGCGATTGCTCCTTCATTATCCATATAGAGCTCAATGGGCGGGGAATCGGGTTTGGCAACGCCCATCTCGATGCATACACGACGAAGCCATACAGCCTCTTTTGATGCTTCGGATCCTTCCATATATTCAGCTTCATTGCTGCTTGTGGCGACGCAGCTTTGAATTTTTGATTTCCATGAGATAGGTGAGCCGCCATATAGAAAGATGAAGCCTCCTACTGATTTTCTTCCTGCATTAGGTCCTCCCCAATTAGAATCTGCGAAACCTTTTGGTAGGTGGGATATAATCGTCTGTGTACGAGGATAGTAGACGATTCCTTCGTCAATTGTTCCTTTCAGGTAACGTATGACATGCGTGAGCGCATTCCAGCATTTCTTTGTGGGTTTGGTGTTGTAGCGGGCTAACATTCCTGCTGCCTCAGCTATATCAGGGCGAGTCTTTACTGCTAGCCATTGCAGTTTTCCAGTTCCTCGCTGGTACTCGTGAATAATCACAGAGTCATCGGGCAGGTCATCTATCACTAGACCACTCGGTAGAGGTGTGGTTTGGGGGTGGGAGTTCTCTAGTCCGAATGACTGGACAAGATCCTTGATATATTCGCGTTGATTAAGGTGAATACATCCATTCTTGAATTCAACTTCCATGCCAAGATAGTACGTCATGTCGCTGACGTCTTTTATCTCCCATTCTTTGGCTAGGGCATTCTTTGTCCATTCAATATCATCAGCTCGCTCAGCTACGAGCTGGAAATCGTCAACATGGGTAGTGATATAAAGGTGCTTTCGTTGTTGATGGATGAATAGACCAGGGTCATATGAGCATGTCCGAAAGCCTAGTCTATGGAGAGCAGCGGTAAGTGTGTCATACCATATGCGGGCTGCTGGAGTGAGTCCATATATTGATTTCTTCAGCCGCCAGGCTAGACCTTCGCCTTTTTCAAAACCAGTCGGTTGACGCATATAGATTTCATCAATCAAATCGCCATTCAGGAAGGCGACTGCGACGTCGAGCTTTCGCATGTGCCATCCATTGGCAGCAATCAATGCGAATAGCAATCGGGTAGTGGCTGCGGAGACCACTGGGGCATATTTGCAGTAGTCATACTGCATATCATCTTTCTCAACAAGATTTCCAAGGATAACCCATCGAGCTTTGTACGAGCGTTCATCAGTGGATGGATAGTCCTCTTTGCTGTCATACACCCATTTGCCAGGGAATATACGCTTGTTTTTGGGCACATCGCTGATCCGGACTAATTCGAATATCTCTTTGCTCTGCAGTTTCGAAAATTCCTTTTCCATCGCGCGTTGCCATCTATCTTTGTCATCTCGGTCCATAGCGCGCCTCAAAGTCTTTGGTATGTCACGCGAAGTTGCTCCAACTATATATGCAGCGAAACCTTTTGCTGGACGAGATATGACGTCGTCTGGGGCGTCGTCAAAATAGGGTTGGGTGGTCATCTTACTATTGGTTGAGGAAGCGAGTGAAGTCGGTTGGGGAGTGAATGTTGGATCAGTAAGCGAGATTTGCCCCTCATCCACGTATCCATCAGGCACATTGATGATACTATCTTTCTCTAGATTCCATACCATCGCGATATTGCTGGCTATATGGCCCAGAAGTAGGCCATACGCCCCGCGGGTGTCCATTTTGTCGGTCGGTTTCTCAGTACCATGTCGGTGATACCAGATTCTCGCTCCGAAAGGACGTAAATAGGAGATATCCATTGGACGGTTCTCCCACGCTTCTGCAGGGATATAAAAGGGTGATTTCTTGATGTCTTCATTCAAGATATTGCCGTTTGGTGTCGGGTCGTTGAATAAAGGGGTTGATGTCGGGAGATAATTGGTTTTTTGAACGGTGTCCATCAAGGCTTCTAGCCAAAATCGGCGTGGTAAACCAGAGGCATATAGGACTGCTCTGGTCCTTTCCAAAATGATCCGGATTCCGCGTTCGCTAACGCCATTTTGCCAGGGTGAATAGGGAGTAGATGGCTCAGTTACAATGCAAGGCCAATCTTGATAGTTCCTGAAAAACTCGCCATCACCGCGCAGATAGGCAGTTTCATAGCCAATTTTCTTGAGCCATTCAATATGCTGCTTGATGGTGTGATTTGGCTTTTCACGGTTTTGGAGTGGGATAACCCATCGCATACGGGTGGCGTCGTCGGTGAGTATCATGACATATTTGTATTTGCCATTTGCTGGAGGTACATCATCATCTGATTCTTTGCCTAGTGTCTGGCCGCCGCCAAAAATATCAACGTGCAAACGTCTGCCAGGCATAGTTGCCCTTGGGGTGGGCCCATTCCCAATTTTTCGGGTGGTTTTTGCTCGTCGGCAAAAGTCGCATGTGGGTAGCAACTTCTTCCCCTGGATATTGATTCTTCCAATCCGATGGAGGTATTGCAAATCATGTTGATTCATATGGGATAAGCGGTGGTGCCAGTATTCAATTGGTGCTGGTGGAGGTCTATTTGGGGTTGAATTTTGGGATTTGTTGTCATCTGAGTCTGAGTTATCAGTGACTGCGTTTATCACTCCTTCTTCTTCTAGATAGTCAAACATGCCATTCTTGGCTGTCCGAGATATGAGGAAGGAAGTTGATAAATCTGGTGTTATCACCCGGAATTTATAGGGTTTGTCACGGGTGAGCTGGATGTGGAATCCCTGTTCTTCAAGTTGACTGAATGATAATAGGCGAGCATGTAAAGCGGGTATATATCGGACGTCTTTCAGCTCTACCATTTGTCTGCCTATAGGTTGGTGAATAGTTCCGACTCCTTCCACTTTGTGGATGCTATTGTCCGGCAATCTGACTGTGGATTGTGCGGTTGCTGGGATATAGTTGATGAAAGCTGACTTGTCATCATGCATGGTCCATGTGGCGCCAGTATCTAGTACCCAACTGTCTGACTGTGTTGTTGATTGTACTAGATTAACTACTCCATTTGCTTGTGTGGAGTTGGAACTGGTCATTGAATTAGACTCATTGGACTTCGGGGGGCGAAGTTCTGGATGAAGAGACCAGCATTGGTCTGGTGTATGCGGTCCTTTTCTGCAATGAGAGCAGTAAGTCGACCGTCGTGATGTTGATGGGGTTCCTGGTATTTTGGGAGAGTTGGGTGCATTATTCTGAGGTTTGCTCCCCCCCTTCTGTATGCTCCGATTGGTCGAATTCGGATTGTTTGGGGTGGTATTGGTTGGGTCCCAAAGCTCCTGTCGGTATATCGTGTACGAAATCGGTTGATAGGTATTGGGTGACGGTGGAGTACGGCTTTCCATCTGATCAATCACCTCATCCATATCCAGTTCATGATAGACACTTCTTTTCGACACTGCAAAGAGACTATCTAACTGTGTACGGATGAAAGACCTTTGAAAATCACCCAACAAAACAATGCCAATGTCGTGGCATATCTCAGAGGTAGTATATCCTTTCCGTTCTATTTCTGTGACTACTCGCTGCCACTGTCGAATCATCGAGATAGTATCGCCTTGGGGTCTCAAATTCATGAGCGTTTTAACGAGGAGTAAACGTTCTTCCGCAGGTGAGACGCCATATAGGGTGTCCAAACGGGATAGGATGTCATGTGGGTGTTGGGTATGGTCTGTTTGGACTTGGTGAAGAATATCACGCGTCAGGCGGTCCAATATGCGGGTATGTAGTAGTCGTACAGATGTGTTATACACTGCTGACTGTGAAGGGGTCTCTTTAGGCATTTCCTTTGGACGAAGCAAAACATCACGGGCATTGATATAATCCGCGTCAATGAGGAGATCTTTCTTCCATTCAGAATAGTTCTCACGGCCATGGAGGCGTTTGGTATCTCGCCAATGGGTTTTGGCAAGCTGATGGAGTTTCTTTTCTTCTCTGTCAACTGTTGATTGGCCACCTGATTGCGCGAACAGTTTGGATAGTTGCTCAACGAGTTGATTATCCGCTCCTCCCGGATTGGTCTCGGGTTGTTTCCCTTTACTAAGGTTACGGACCTCAGTTCTGTACTCATTCACCTGTTTGATGAGTGATTTCAAAAGCTCAGTTTGGTCTGGCTCTTTGGCGTGGTGGTGGGCGGGTTCTTGGGCATTGGGGTGCCCGGGTTCGACGCGTCCCCCCCCTTGAGCAGGAGGTGTTTCGGGAAGCGGTTGAGTAGTCTGGCTAGGAGGTTGGGTCTCCTGCTGTGATTGTATATACCGGTTGGGGTCCGGATTGATTGGTGTTGGGGTTGGTTGGTCGTCTATGTCCATGACGGATGAGCTTTCAGCGGCATCACCAAAGAGGTCGCTGGCTCTGCGTTGTTTGGTACCCGGAGTCGCCATTTGAAGAACTGGGGGCATCTTCTTTGGGGGCATAATGTCGAGTTATCTGGGGAATATCTCGATTTCGTGGGCTTCTGAGTTTACCAATCGGGGTGGCGTTTTCAGGGATGATTGAGCGTACGGTAGCAATGAATTCTTGCAGGCTTAAAGGCGTAAACTGATTGACCTAACAAGAAATCCCTCGCTAAAGGAACCAATAACGTATATATAATCGCTCCTAACGAGCAGGAGGGCTCATAACCTTTTGGTGTGTGTTGTTAGTTGGATGAATTGGGTGCCTATCGGCTAAGGCTAGCTATATGTCTACCGGGCAGAAAGCGAGGGCGGTCAAGCACGTGACCCGATGGGTACTAACAAACTGAGCATTTAAGTATTACATGCCATGCCTGGTCATTATCATATTATATAGGATCTATGTCTACAGTGGCCGTTCATTCCTCCTCCATCAGTTCGGCCAGCTCTCGCTCTTCCTCCTCGGTCAACATGGACTCAGGGTTCGGCTTCTCCTCGTCCTCATCGGGTGTGGTTTTCTTCGCCTTTTCCACCGCAATCTGAAGTTCATCCGGCTTGAGAGACCATTGACGGATGGTTGCATCGATTCCAACACTGACGACGGTCGACCCAATGAGCACAAGTCCGGTGACTTCCTCGTAATGGCCGGAGAATGTATGGTAAAGCTTTCCTGTCTGTAGTGTACATGTTATTACCATTCTCCATAGCAGCAGCTCTAGCGATGGGACTTGAAACATACCGTCCGATTCCACACACGAACTTCCTCATCTCTGCAGGCGGTAACCACCCAGCCTCCTTGTTCGTAAACCACTACATCCCGAACAAAATCATCGTGTTGCAGCACGAGATTTGGCTTCCAGTTGTCGTCTCTCACAAGACATTTTGCGGTTCTGTCAGCGGAAGCGGTCCAGAGATCAGTATCGTTGTCGAAGAAAAGCTTGTAGACACTGGTATCATGGGCCAACAGAGGGTCCGTGTGAGTGAGATCTTGGCTGCCAGCGGAAATGTCGAAGCGTCGAATCTCACGATCGCTTCCCGCACTAAATACAATCATTTCCTTGCTCTCTGGGTCCAGAGAGGCAGGATCAATCGCTAGATCTTGGAGGCCCTTGGCGTGACCCTTGAGAACGTGTAGTCGTTGGCCACTGGCAATGTCGAACACCAAGATTTGCGCATCCGCTCCTCCGGTAATAAGAAGATCTTGTTCATGCAGTCTTGTGCTGGCGACGGCTCTTACGAAGTCGGTATGCCCCTCATACCGCTGTTTAGGCTGCCGCGTAGCCACATCCCAGCTCCATACGGTCTTGTCCCAGCATCCAGCAAAAAGTAGCTTTCCATCTGGACTGAAGCAAATGCTGGTGACCGGAGCAGTTGGCCCTTTGTATAAGGCGGTAGTTTCTCCTGTCTGTGAACCATTGGATCGAGAAATGCGTTAGGAGACTTGGCTGAGCATCCGATACTTTAAGGACACCATATACCTACTTCGAGGATGACCTTCCGGACAACACCGGTACTCTGAGCCACAAAGACAGAGCCGGGATTCAAAGAATTCACTTGAATAGCCAGAATTTTACTTTGCAATCGAATAGGGTTTCCATTTGTATTCTGAGATTTTAAATCTTTTCGCTCCTGCTCACCCAGAGCAGCCCTGCAGACGTGGTAGTCAGTGACGGACCTGGAGTTGGGAGATACATTTTGGCACAAACGAGGTCTGGAAGAAATCATCTCTATGAGAAGATTGGGCCATTGTTACGTTATTGATATAAAGAAGAATTGATGATCTCAACGATATTCAACTTTGCTGTGTTGTTCTTCAACCAAAATTGCCTATCAAGCTCCTGTGGTCCGCCGTAGCCGACTTCTGGCCACAAAACCCGCTTTTTTCGCTTCTTCTTCCTTTTTCCCTCTCCCTCTCCCTCCTCTTCGCTTCTTCTCGCTTGCTCGCACATTTTTCCTTTCCTTTTTTCCCCTTCTCCATCGACCATTTAAATACTTCCCCTCCACCTCTTTTTCGTTACTTTGTTTTTTCTCTTCTTCTCACTCGCGCGTGTCGCGCAACTCCCTGTCAGCATGGATATGAACCATTTAATAGGGTCAGTCTTCTATGCCTACTGGTCTGAACCAGGGTTTGTGCGGCTCGGCTGGAGTTAACACCTGGCAGTCAGCGGTTCAACCTGATCTCTAAGAGTGATATTCGGTATGTTGTCCTTGCTTCTCAGCTGCTATCCATTCGAGTAGTCGAACTAACTGTTTTGCTGTCCTTAGTTATGTTGGTACTTTACATGAGATCAACCCTGAGGCCTCTACAATAGCTCTCGAGAATGTTGTCTCGTTCGGAACAGAAGGTAGACGAGGCAACCCGGCCGAGGAGATCCCTCCATCTGGCAGTGTCTACGAATATATCGTGTTCCGGGGTAGTGATGTCAAGGACATCAGCGTAGCTGAGGAAAAGGAAAACACAAAGCCTGAGCCACCTCAGGTTCCGGATGACCCCGCCATTCTAGGAGTAAGTGCCTTCACTTTTTCTATTTTCCCTTTTTATTGCATTGTCCGGGCATTCCGTGTGCATACCTGCCGCGGTCGGGCAATTGATCATATGATGAATTATCTCGGATGTAAACTCACAGACCTGTTCCGAATTGCGCAAACAATTTATGTGGATCTTTCCGTTGCCTTCCTTCTGATATGATCAAATTATTCTTGTTTTGACTTGCATGGCTCGCTTTGTCCGATCAGTTGCTAATAGTCATGAATAGAGTATGTCCCGCACGGGTCCGCAGGGTCTTCCTCAATCCCAGCCGCCACAACAGCCTCAGGTCCCTCAGCAAGCTCCTCCTGGCTATCCCCAACAGCCCCAGTTCCAAGGATTTTACCCTCCTTATGGGCAACGCTTTGGGCCTCCTTTCCCACCTGGACCAGGACCTGGCTTCCCGCCATATGGATTCCCACCAGGGTGGTATCCTCCTCCAGGGCAGGGTTTTCCCCAAGCACCCGGAGCTTTCCCTCAGGTGCCAATTGGACCTCCGGGCCAACATCAAACCCCACCTCAACAGCATCGTCCCGGGATGCCGGGTGCGGGTCCCGTAAACCCTCTCAACCCAACCTCTGAGCTTCCGGTCGGTGGAACACCCGCCAGTAAGCCGACCAGCCAGGCTGCTACACCTGCACCTGCTGCTGCTGCCGGTGCGGCTCAGAAGCCTCCAACTCCGCCTATTGAATCTAAGCCCAACGTAACTGAAGCTGTACACGCTGCGCCCGGAGCTGCCACGGCAACTTCATCCAAGGTGCCGCCTACTGGACCCAGGAGCAGTCGCGTGGAGCCGGCGATTCCATTCTCCCAGCCCGCTAAGCCTGGAGTTCCTGCTGTAGCTCAACCTCCACTTGCTAGCGCTCCAGGGAACAGTGTGCCGCAGGGCGCTGCTCAAGCCGCCGCTGTTACTGAAGCTACTCGTGCGGCCACTGCTGCAGTCGCTGCTGCCATGGCTAAACTGCCACAGCCCAATGTTCCCAAGAAGCCTGATGCATCTATTGAACATGTGACCAAGCAGATGAATGACTTGAAGACCCACGATGGCAGTCGTCCCCAGCGTGGCGGCTATCAACCCCGTGGTGGGCGTGGAGGTCGTGGTCAGTACCAAGGTCAACAACAACAGCAGCAGCAGCACAAGAAGGTCGAGGTTCCACAGACAGACTATGATTTTGAAACCGCGAATGCAAGGTTCAACAAACAGGACTTGGTCAAGGAAGCCATCGCCACTGGTAGTCCTGCGGCCGAGGCAGAAATTGTTCCCCAAGAGGGCGCTCCTCAACCCGATGACGGGGACACTAATGACGCGCCGGCTTCTGCGCCTGTCAATTCTTACAGCAGGACCAGCTCATTCTTTGACAACATCTCCAGCGAGTCCCGTGACCGTGAGGAAGGAACTGGAGCCCGTGCTGTTGGTCGTGAATGGCGCGGCGAAGAAGAGAAGCGGAACATTGAGACCTTCGGCCAAGGCAGTGTCGACGGCTACCGGGGCAGCTACAGAGGCCGTGGTCGTGGTAGAGGCTATGGCCGAGGCCGCGGTGGTTATGGCCGTGGATTTTCTCGAGGCCGTGGTGGTTTCCGTGGCGGACGTGGTGCCTCTCAGTCCACTGGAGTCCCGACGCTCACCTAAATCACACTTGCGTGATGAAAGTCTACCGGTACCGTGTTCTTAGCGGTGTTTAATTTTTATTTCGTCGTATTTTATTATCTATCTGGTGTTCTTTATTTTGAGTCTTTTTGGCGTGGCGAAACCTATTGTCATTTTTTCATGTTGCTGGCGTCTGGATGATAGCGTCCTACGAATTCCTGGTCTTTCGCATTTCGACAGATGGGTTGTCATTTCTTTTCCGATACGATTGGGATTCGCACATGGTTTACGGTGGTCTGGGTGACTTGTTGCTTAGGCGAAGGTTGCTTCGTCCTCGGCGTTCTGATTTTCCTTTTACTTTTCGCACATATTGCATGGGCTTGTCTCGACCGAGGTCCGAAGGCATCCTTACGAATGATCATTTTTCTTTGCCTGTCCGCGGTCTGCCCGGTCTTTGGTCTCTGGCACCGGACATGGACACCACAACACAATTGGCAGTGTATCATATCCTTCAAGTATGTACTACATGTACTACCTACCGAATGAAAAAAGAAAGAGAAAAAAAAAAAAACGATCATCGGGTCATGAATCATGTTGCGTATGCATTCCGTAGTCTGTAACCGGTCTTCCGAAATGCGGGGAAACTTCAATAGAGTTATCTCCACGCTGGCATAAAGGCATATACGCCCAGCAACCCTCCACAGCTCCACGACAATCCATGAAACCTACGGTCACTCCCTCTTCTGTGTCCACAAAAATTCCAGCGATTAACCCTATCCGTTTCTTTACGCGTTGTCTCTCCGTTCCTCTGACCAATGAAAGACACTCATCCTCTAATCGCCGACCAGGATGCTATGGCTCTTCTCCGGACGAGTCCCGGAGGGAACGATAGACTTCCCCTACCAGTTGCAATATGATGCTATATAAGGGATCTCCCTTTCCCCCTGTTTTCTCTTCAGGTTCCCCAGCTTTGTCCCTCGTATCCCAACTCTCAATTATCCCCTCTAGTCTCATTCCACATTTAGCTTCCAGCCATGTCCACCATCCAAGACCCCAACCAACTTCCCTGGAACCCTGACTCGACTCGGTTCCCTTCTCGTAAAGAATTGCCCAAGCTCCCTGGCGCGCCGGAAGATGCAGCTTGGGTCTGGGGAAAGGATGATGCCGTGAGTTGTTTCTACAGACATAGAAGATATATTATGCCAACTGACTTTATAGATTGGACGATTGAACTTGTTGACCCCCACCCGTGTCAAAGCTGCAATCCAAGAAGTCAAAACTGGTGAAATTTTTCGATTGGAGTGAGTTTACAATGGTGATTGAATATATAATGCAATATGTTGACGTGACAGTCTCCCCCTGGATGTCCCTCAGACGCCGGCATTTGGACGAGAGGTTTTCCAGCACAACATTAAGGAACTCTTTCCAGGTGTTGCCTATGATGATACATATAACCTGAACACACAGAGTGGAACGCAGTGGGATGGATTCCGTCACGTATGTTACCCTTCACTTGATATATATCTAATTACTAATGAAACTAGTTTGGCCATATCGAATCCGGCTGCTTTTACAACGGGGCAAGTACTACCTACCCTTCACAACCTTATGATGCTAATGTGATTGCAGACAAAACCCTCCGACATCTACGGCGCAAACGCCAACCTTAAATGCAGCATCCACCACTGGTCCACCCATGGCATCGCTGGCCGCGCCATCCTTCTCGACTATCGCCACTACGCCAATACCAACAACATCCCCTACGACCCCTACACGCCTCACCCCATCACCTTCGCCGACCTCAACGCCTGCGCGAAATTCCAAGGCCTTGACATCCGCCCCGAGTCCCAAGGCGGCTGCATCAAACCCGGCGACATCCTCATGGTCCGCTCGGGTTTCATCGAACGCTACAACCAGCTCACCCCCCAGGCGCGCACGGAGGGCGCAGAGCGTACGCAGTTCGCAGGTTTGGCGCAGGAAGAAGCTATCCTGGACTGGTTGCATGATTCCTATTTTGCGGCGGTGGTAGGTGATTCTCCGACGTTTGAGTGCTGGCCGCCAAAGAAGGAGCATGGGTATATTCATCAGCAGATTTTGGCGCTGTGGGGGATGCCGTTGGGGGAGATGTGGGATTTGGAGAGGTTGAGTCGGAGGTGTCGCGAGTTGGGGAAGTGGACATTTTTTTTGACGAGTGCGCCAGCGAATGTGGCGGGAGGTGTTGGGTCGCATGGTAATGGCACTGCTATATTATAGATCGTGCTGTGTATTGCATTGTACAGGGACATACTACTATGGTTATAAAGTACATTAATCGTAGCATTACTGTTATTTAGCAGACAAAGGAAATACCTCCAACACAAGCCAACATAACCAACAACACATGGAATATCCAGACAGAAACAAACAAGATTAGTATGTGGTCATAAATCGTCATATCATCAGTCTGTCCAAGCCCAAGTCTGAACATGGATCCTTCGAACAGAACATGAAAGGTACATAGAAAAGACATCCAATCAACCAGAGCATTAGAAGATATCCTCAGGCCACTCAAAATCATCTTTCATAGGTACCTGCACCTCCACCTGCTGCTTCGTATGCAAGCGACTCTGCTGGGCACTACCATGCACAGCAGTCGTCCCGGCACTCTTCCTCCTCACAAACTCTTTAGCTAGCCGCTGGTCAGCTCTCGCAGCGGTAGCAGCGAGGTCCTTCGGGAGCGGTGGGACGGGAGGAATATATTCGAAATCGTAATATTTGCGACTGGGTGTGCGGGTTGGTGTTGAGTTTGCGCTGTTGTCATGGTGAATATGCTGTTCACCATGCAGATAAAACGAGTTTTGCTGTTGCTGCGCGGAATCCATATCGTAGTCCATAATATCGGTATCTGCATCCGAATCCACGTCAATATCCATACCGACATCCTTATCAGTGTGAGGCAGAGCGGTAGCAGAAGCAGATGCAAGATCGTAGAATCCCTTTTTTGTCTTCAGACGCGCCTGTGCCTTCCTAGGCGATGCAGTGGTAGATATAGAAATCGATCTGGATCTTCTTCTCGCTGACGGGGAAGATCTTGGACTAGTAGGGTTGAGGTAGCGCGGTTTACGTCGTGTGATTGATCCAGGAGTGCTGGATTGAGATTTTCTGCGTTCGACGGAGCCGGGGCTGTCGCTTTTACCCATTTTTTGGAGTTTGGAGCGACGGCGGGTACTGTTTGATTTGGTGGGTGTGGTACTTGTGGAGGGAGTTCCTTTCTCGAAAACGATGTTGGTGCCTTGGTTCGAGTCGAGAGCTTTGGGTGCCTCTAGGGACTCTGGATCGGGCGATTTGCGTTTTAGAGATGGGCTGTCGGTCGTCGCAGATAGAATCGATTGCTCTTTCATCTCCTTTTTGGGCGTGGTTATATTCGCTTCATGGGTGATATTTGGTGAAAGCGACTGCAATGGTTCACCAGCAGCAGTAGTCTCAGTGGTATCAGTTGCATGGGAACGTTTTTTATCTTCAGCCTCCGCTTGATTCTCCAAAGTCCTCTCCGATGGAAGGGTGGAAAGAGTGCCAGGAACGAATGTCTTGGGATAAAAGGGTTGCTCGAAAGACATGGCTTGTTCCGACACTGACAGCGGGACCGGTTCCTGCGCTTGTACGTGTTCGGGCTCCTCCTGCTGTTGCTGTGGCTGTGGTGGTGGCTGTCCCTCATGTCGCTGTCTCTGGGTTTGTCCCTGTTCATATTCTTTTGGTATTTTCGGTACTTTTTCTTGAGAACTCTGCAACTCGCGAAGCTCACGTCTAGTGCGCTCAAGCTTATCCTCCAGATTGCTAACCTTCTTCAACAACTTCGCCTGTTTCAATAGATCCTTCCGGGACTTCTGTTTTCGCACTTCCGGAGTACCAGGTTCTTGCTGCTTAACCAACGAAGAGATACCAAGTGATGACTTGGCCCTGCGAAGATCCAACGCGCCCCGAAAATCCAACGAGCTTCGCAGATCCAACGATGTCCTGATCGATCCCCCAATTGTCGAGTCCTGGCTCTCTCCAGATATCTGTCGCGCGTGACGTCCAGGTGTAGAGGGCTTGTAGTTGGTGTCCATTTTTGCCTGGATGGATTTCCACGCCTGCTCGGGGAGTGCATTCGAGGACTGCGCATCTTGCATATACGCGCCCTTGACGGTTCCTTTGAAGCCGGACTTTTTCAGCTCCTCGTAGGCCCTGTGCACGCGCGCGATGTCATCCTCTTGCTGTTGGTTGTAGTTGTAATTTTCATCTGTAGACGCAGACCCGGAACCAGAACCAGAATCAGAAGTATCCCCCTTCCAAACCCCCGCCCATCCACCAAATGGATTGAATGCAGAGGCAATCGCCTTCCCAAATCGAAAAATTCCCGAAGATTTATGGCTGTGGTTACTCGCACCACCAGAGCCCCTTTCGTGTTGAAAGTTCTGTTGCTGGGGGTACTGCTGATGCTCCTGCGCATACAAATCCTCGCGAAGATAAATACTGGGTGGCTTTTCACTGACGCTATCGTTCATAGTACCCTCTATGAAACGTGATCGCCGACCACGGGGCGCAGGGCTCTTGGGACTCTTTGTCGAGTTCGAGTTCGAGGCTGTAGCAGTTATACGAGGAGAACCAGTCATGCGATGCCTCCATCTTCGCCCAAAACTACTCGCGCTCTCGTGGTATTTCTTGACTTCTTCTCGTCCCTTGTCCTGTTCATGCGCTTGTCCACGAGACTCCTCGGGCCAATCATTCGACCGGCGTCTCTTCGGGGAATGCGGCGAACCATTCACACCCTCCTTATCAACATTGTAGTACTCGACTTCATCCGCATCGTCATACTTCCCAGAGACATCTGAGCCGCTCGAATCCAGACTGTTGCTGCTGATGTTTGAACTCGAGCGGGAGTGTTTGCGACCTGCGGAGGGCGCGGTTGCTAGGTCGTCGCGGCTGGCGTTGAGGTGGAGGGCTTCTTGGAGTTGGTGGTCGGCGTGGAGGGGGCCGAGATCGAGATTTACCTCGAGGCAGGGGGTCTTTTTATTAGACCTGTAGTTAGTAAAGTGTAAATTTGGGAGGGGGGGAGAAAGGCAAACCTCAACCATGGTTACCTGCTTATTTGTTAGCAACCGAACAACGACGGATATTCAAAGAATTATTCCGTAGACATTGAGATAGATGTCGACAATAAGGATAACAAAAAGTGCAGAATCGAAGAAAACAGAGAGAAGAACACAAGAACAAAAGAAAAGAAGAAAAACACCGAGTCGATGTTATTGTTATTGCTGCCGCTGTTGTTATGGGGGTTGTTTACATAGCGGAGTTTGCGGCGATCCTCGACTGAAACTAAAAATGCCGGGGCAAAACATGCCAAGTCAATTACAATTCTTTGCTAGCAAAATCCTTGTAAAACCCATGACCATTTCACGTATAAATGCAAGTATAGCTGTCAGATGTTTCATATATGCCTGCAAGGCCTCAATGCCATTGTGTCTCCTACATAGATCGGTGCATACACTGCTATATACATGTCTCGGTTGGACATGTCACTCGATTTCTTCAGGCACATACTATCTACAGTGGAGGGATATAGGTAAGACGCATTGAAATGAATTCAGCATCTCAAGTATCATAGCGCAGGCCGCTCATATGCAGTGTCCACAACCAACAGAACAGCTAAAACGCAAGACAGGGGGAATCAATGAACAGGAAAAAGTCAGTCAAGGAGTGGTATCCCGAGCAAACGAAATCGGTACTCAAGAATAGGAAGGCCGGAAAAAATCATATACAAAAAGTAATAATAAAAATAAAAAGAGAGAAGAAAATAAGGAACGACAAAGCAAAGTGGTATAAACATCAATTCCGTCCCATAAAAATTCTCCAATCTGCAGATCAGGGGATATAATGCGCAAAACCTATCCACAAAAGAAAAACCGCCTAGTACGCCGTCCGAATATATAAAGAAAATTAAGAGAGATTAACTAGAATACGCTGGCGGAATCTTCATGGCCATGCGGCCGTTAGCTCGCTTATATGCCATCTCATCGCGGGTTTCACCACCAAAGTAGGCCCGACTGGACTCAGAAAGCTTCCGTTCCATGCTCGGATATGATTCTGTATCTGGTCGCATGCCGTTTTGCATCGGGCGCTCATCAAACCCAAATGAGTCCTCGTGCGACCGTTTGCTTAACTTCGATCCAGGGACATCGTAGAGGAGCCGCTTGCCCGGAGTCATCTCGTGGCTCGGATGCGGAACCATGCTGCTGGGCATGTTGTGGACGTAATCACTGTTACCGGACAGGGACGAGAGAGGCGGAAGGGAAGGTACCAGACCTGCTGAGGGTGTTTGAGATCGTGGCGCTGAAGGTTGGGTCTGAGATTGGTGATATGCGTTGGGATCTGAGGAGCGGAATTCACCCGCTGGTTGCATGAAGCCCTTTGGCGGCTCAAGACGGAGAGGCGGCAGAGGTCCGGGGTAGCTAGAGGTCCGCTCAGTGTGCGGCCGCGGTTGAGGGTATGGATATCCTGTGGGTTCGTATTCGGTCGACGGATATCTGGTGTGGGAGTATGACAGATGAGGCGAGTACGAGTTGACAGGTGCCGTCGTTTGGGGAGTGGGAGGGAGCGCAGGAGCGTGGTACTGAGGCTGAGCAGAGCCAAATGAAAGGTGCGAAGTATACGGAGATGCCTGCGGCGCAGGGACTGGAGGCGCAGCAGGAATGGCTCTCTGGTACGGCTGCGCACACGGGTATCCGTAGTCAGATGCTGAAGGTCGACGCTGCGCATCAGGAGCGTAGGGGAAGGCGGGCTCAATCGTGCTGGTGCTGGCAGATCGTGGGCGTTCGATGGGAGTGGCTGCTGCTGCTGCGGCGGCGGCGGCGGCGGCGGCGGCAGCAGCAGCGGCGTAGGCGTCTGGCGTGGAGTACCGGTTGTCTGCTTGGCGAGGTGCTGCAGCATACTCATCGTAGTCGTCGTTGCGCTTGTCGCCGCGGCGTCTCATGCGGACATCACGGCGAATACGAACACGGCAGCCTTGTTCAGCGATGACCCGACTCAGGGAAGTACTGGTGGCCAAACCCGGGAACTTCTTGGCACTGTAGACTGTGAAGGGAATGGAGTTGACCAAGAGACGGAAGTTGAACGCGTCAGGAGTGCTGGCGCCCGGTTTCAGCGGTTGAACGGTGGTGTCCGGCACCGGAGGATCTCTATCGGCGTCCTTGGCATCCTTGGTCTCCTCGTACAGGTGGAAGGTCAAGCGGTATCGACCCTCATGACGGACCGATAGATCGGGAAAGATGAAGTATCCAGCCTGGGCTGGACGGTCCAAATAGGCGATTCCTGCGACGGGCACACCGGTCAACACGGGTGTGCTCGGAGTACCAGCGACTCGTCCATGCGCAATGGGGCGCGCCGTTTGCAATGTCGCGTACAGGAAGAAACTGGCATTGTAGGCAAAGGTGATGTCGGTCTTGTGCAGGTCGTTGTTAGGGTCGGATTCGAAGATGCGCAGTTCAACAACGGGTGGGGGATCAACCGGCCGACGGTCGGCAGACGCTGTTTCAGTTAGCATTCTCTTTCAAGTTATCAGAGGGGTAATGGCATACATTTGGCGCCCGCACCGCAGGCTCTGGCACGTTCAGGTTGCTGCATAACACTGAGCTTGTATGATATCCTCTTACCCTCACGGGTAATCCGGCTGAAATGGGCTTCCGTCTCGTTCTCCGGAGGCATGAGGGGCATTCGCGTCGCCATTTTGATGGGGTTGGTGTGTCTGTCAAATGTTAGTACACTTTTCCAGTTGAATTCCGAGACACCGATCGCGTTCCACATACCAGATGATTGATCAACCCAACGATAACAGAATCAGCAAGCTGATCGAGACAAGTCTCTATCAGTTCTTCTCTGAAGCTCTGAAGGAATATGTCTTTCTCCGTTTTCTAGCGTGAAACCGACCAGCCGGTAGACGTGTGAAGTTCGGAAAACTGCAGGAGTTGGGACAAAAACAGCAAAGCGCGATGTTCTTTTTCTCGCCAGGCGAGTACTCGAGAGATATACGCGCCAATAAGGGGTATATATAAAGGGAGCTTAGAGGATAGCCAAGAGACAAAGAAAAACAACCCGACAGACAGTAACCGGGGAAGGAACCAGCGAAGATCCCGTCTGGAGTTGAGCGGGATATGGTTCAGAGGGAAGAATAAAAGAATAACTAGATGGGTTCAAAAGAAGACATGGAGAAAAAGAGACAGAAAGAGGGAAGATAGATAGAAAGAGAAGAGGAGAAAAGAAGAAAGAGAGGAAGGAGGCCAGAGAGTGGGAGAGCGGCAGCAGCAGTTTTACGGTAATGTACATACATGGCGAGAGCGCTAAGGGGCACTGACTGCTGGTATCGAACCCGTACGTCAGGTACGAGGTTTTTCTTTACCGGAAGTTCTGACGCGAGCTAAGTGGTTGGCCAGTGGGGAGAATATCCACTTGGACGAGCCAGAGCAGTGGATCTGGGATGTTACCGGGCATGATTATTTTTTTAATTGGCTATAGGGAAAAGAAATGGATCTGTTAGGTTTCCCGGACAGGGCAGCGGGTTGGCGGACAATGAGAGTGGTCCGTGGTTTCATCCTGTCACGGGAGGGATTATTTTTGTCTGCTCCACTACCTCCGGGGCTAGTGCGATTAGTGGCTCTTGGCGACAGGGATGATGCTTCGCTTAGAGGAAACTTTTTCCCGTCGGATCTCCTATTTATTAAGTGCTTCTGTCAGAGTAATAGTGCCATTTAGGGAGAGTAGTGCGAGTACGTGGTAATTAAGTACTAGACAAAGAGTAACACAATAACTGCAGAATCCCAAGCTGGAGCTCGTCAGCATGCTGTGTCCCAGTCCAACGGATCGGATACATGTGCTGAAATATAGGTGCTCTATAACAACAGACTTATTGCGCGTATCTCGGCTGCTTTTATTCTCGGTACATTCCACCCAATTTTGTCTCTTCCTACATCACAGATTATGTACACGCACTCTTTTCGGATTATCCGAGATTCAGCCACGACATCAATAAGCACCTAAGCGCAGTAAGCACTCCGTACCAACTTTGGGCCACCAGATGATCATACCTATCACGTCCCAGTCCCGATCCCAATAGTACCGGGAGTGTTTCCAACGGTGTCAACCCTTAATTAAAAAGATGGTGCTACTTGTGCAAGCATGCCGATACTATCACAACGGTAAATTGGATCTGCAACGAACAGATCCCGGGCTGCGTTGGCCGATAGATTCGACAGGGATGACTTGGTTGGATCGTATTACTTGTACGTATATAGTACTAATTGTCAGCTGGATCGCTGGATTTACACTTTGCTTTTCATGCCTTTCATATTCTATCGATCCAAATTAACTCTGTACACACTTCAAACATTATAACTCTACCCCTACTCCATACCCATATCAAGTACCTTATCACACTATCCCAAAAAGGCCACGCGGTACGAAGTATACCTATCTGTACAACCATACCACATGCGGAAGCACCCCACCACTCCCAATTCCGGCCTGTCAATGGTCCGTGACCCTCTTGGTGGTTCCACCATGGCGCTCGTCATGGATTCCTATTGGCTGGTTTCAAATAACTGAGCCCACCCAGACCCCGGCGGTGCGGACCGAATAAAAAATGGCTCCAGTTTCCGGCCGAATCCGGTATTAACAGGACCGAGTTAGTACAAATGTAGAATAGTGAGAATAGTGACGAATATTTAGGCTAAATGAGACTATGTAAAATTCTGAAGTTTGGCTAATCCGTGGTTGACAAAGAGAAAAATTGATGAACGGAATCCAGCTAAGCTTGTACAAGGGCAGACCACAGCCATGGGACATACGTACCAGAACCTCGCCGATGGGATTACATGGTTTTACATGACTCACGACTTCGGAGCCGAAGCTAACCAGCCTTCCCTCGTGCATATCATGATTGGTTCATCAGCTGGGCCTTGGTGCGGTCAATTCTCCGGTGGTGATACAACTGGCTGTACCAGGTTGATGGACTCTGCACATATGTAAGAACGAAACTTTGGGTCGGTGTCCAGTAACCAGTAACCAGGAAATACGACCTGCACTGCATTCTGCAGTACTGCGTACTTGTAAAAATGGGATTGTATTGTGCGACCACGAACCATTGATTGTTCATGCTTGGATGGCAGTGGAGTACCCCTACATCACTCCGCATTTGCATACAGAACACAATTCAATCCAGAACATAGTACGGAGTACTCCTCTCATGAGTACACGGTCCTATGACCACGCACAGACCATTGCTTTTTTCTTTTTACCCGAAACAGCCACCAATCGCATTCCTCCATCTAAATGAACCCTGAGCCCTGTCAAAGTCTATTCACCGAGGGGCCAATTAAGGATCTTCTTTCGGAGATAGTGAAAGTGATCTTCTGATTGGGCGAACTTTCATTTCGGTTAAATAGTCTTACTGCACACCATCATAGAGTGAGAGAGAGTTAGACACAAACTAAAACGTATACTCGTGATACGGAACGCTCAGTCACCTGCCTAATTCTCAGTCAAAATTTGCATCGCACCGCATCGCCTCCGACACCACAATTAATAAATAGTTATCGGGATCCGACGTATGTGCAAAGAACACGGAGAACTCCGGTGACCGCCCCGAACCCGTGAAATCTTCTCCCTCCCAAACCATACACCAGGTGACGATCAATCAATCAATACATCGAGATCGCCCGATCGCGTCTTATATCCGCTTGGTGTTCTATTGGTTCGTTGTTGCTTGGAGTTCTTCTCGTATCGAGGGGACCTGCAGGACAGGTTGAGATGTCTTGCATCCACGAAGCCAAAGAATGGTTGATGTAATTGAGTGGTGGGGGGAGGGGAGGGAGTGTTTTACAGATTAGTATATTTGAATTATATCGATTCGTTGGATTCCTGTTGGAGAAAGACCACAAGGAGTAGATATGGTGTGTGGTGATAACCGCTGGCATCTAATACAATGATGTCAAGCATAGGCGGCTAGTATGCGTACAATTCGTGAGCTTGTATGGGAACGTGATCGATCAACGACCATAAATCAGATCCCCTCGTTTCGCAATAGTCCTCTGACAGTGTACCAGAATAGCAGCCTGCCGACTAACCTCTACCAAGCTCCCCACCACCTTCCGATTCCCACCCACAACCCATACAGCGCATACGGAATGCCAACCTCACGGCAAAACCGCAGCACCGACTTTTGAGTTGGCCGGAGGTTATGACGCGCGGAACCCTGAGGAACAAATGGTGGATCGCCTGGAATTGAAGACCACCGTGGAAAAAGTCTGACCATTCCGGACAGTCGATACCCATGGTCGTCCGCAGCATTTTTTGGGGGAAGGACTCGGTTGGACCAAGGTCGGTAGTCGACATAGCAAAATGAGATAATGTGAACTACACGTGTAGTGGCATCGTGACCATGTGACTGTCCATGACAAAGGCGAATCGAGCCCAGGCTGTTAGGATTGACTTGTAGACAAGGAGATAACCGAACCAATACCAGAATACTAAGTTTTCCACAATCTCAAACCAGCGATGCCACCATACAGTGCCCTTTCGAGGGCCTTGGCCCTGGTTGAGAGAGACCCACGATTGGACATACAGGCTGAACCGGCCAAACATCAGAACTGGGTAATAGAGAAAGGCCCGGTAACGAACCAAGTGCTTTCCCACGGCATCATAAGACGTAAACCGCTCATGATAGGTAGCAAATAGACTACCAAGGAACCGGTGGCCCACGGCGAAGAATGGCTGATGCTGATTATCAGGGTCGTGCTCTGGCGCGTTGGTCACGATATGATGTACGTTGTGCGTACGTTTCCTTCAGCCCAGTGAAAGGCCTTCAATTGGAGCAGTATTAACCATACCAACCTGGCTGTCAATCGTCAAATTACGTGTAATATCCATGTTGCCAGCATCATGGACCGCACGAACAAGCTGTGATCAGAACCAGCCCTGAAAGATGGTGCTGGTACAGTACCACCCAGTATGAAGGAGAAGCAGCATGAGACCAAAAATTAATGAGCGGCGCCCAAATTCCTAGACATAAGTAGTACGGTTGCACTTGTATATTCCCTCAGCCTGGATCTTGTCATGAAGCTCCCGATATTTCTCGGTAATCTCATCCTGTGTATTCTGGTCCAGTGAAAGGTACTTGTCCATGGTGAGCACCACTTCATCCACTGTCAAGCTACCGAGAAAAGCCAGTTCACTTGACTATCTAAACTTGATGTTGATGGCTGAAATGACGCCTCTCTATTGGCCTCTGGGGATTTTTGATAGTGCCCTCCCTGGATAGGAGGCACGAGGTTCTCCCATCACCCTCCAATCCTTCCAATCTGGTACCGGAACATATGACTGCACGTTTCGTCCGAGTAGAAACCAATACCCGGAAATTTTCAGCAGCATGAATGCCCGAAAGGAAGGAGGACAATTATTCTAACACGGTGATTTCATCTGTTGCATCCATTCCCACCATATGCTCGATCGTTTTATGGCCGCCGGGATGATATTTGCTCTCCCATTGAGAAGATGCTGGATTAAGCACGGAACTCGGAGGGTTAGGAAATTATGTCTTTGGTCGAAGCCAGGGTTGCGGAGCTGAAGAAGCGAAAGCTGCCGGAATAGTGGCAGTTTTGGAAGTGAAGGAATTGAGTTCTCGGAAATGTATTCCGGACAATTTTGTGAACATTCTGGAATTGACATTTTGTTGTATAGTCTGTACGTCATGGATCGAGTAATACTTAGTCTGCTGATTTTTCCTTTTCACTTTACATTCTCAGGCCATCGAGAGCTGAATTCCGAGCACATCTATGTCAGCTACCCGACTCGCCATTGATGCTCAACATGCGAACAATGAACGCTGGCGCTAACAATTCTATGAAAAAAGGCCAGCCCACCAACTGGCCATGAGATATACTCGCTATAATACTCAATAGCATATAAGAGTCCACATGATGGTGATGAATAACTTAGATAACTCACTATGAGACATACAAGTACACATAATTTATGTCAGTAGTACTATCGGTCGAGTTTAGTTGAATCTCGGACAATATTTTCATGTTCCATGAAGTTATCAAGTTCTACGCCTGGATGTTGGTAAATGAGCCCTGACTGGTTCATGGCACTTGGTCCGATCCCATACTTTGACGAAGGTTCTAGTTATAGCATACCCCGTAGCTATGTACTACTAGAGCTTTCTTCAGTCGTTGCACTATCCGGAAGAAACAAGTAAAAAGCTCTTCCGGAATCGTACTCCGGAAATTTGTAAGAGTCAGCATGATGGAAGCACACATGGTCACTAAGAAATAATACAATCGGTCATCCCTGTTTCTTTCATAAATTTGTTTCATAATTCTTCCACAACAGCTGAGGAAGCAACAAAATGCTATTGTACGCCTTTCTTGCCTACATAGGCATCGCTGCCGCCGAAACCTGCAGGATTACCGGCTCTGACATTGCAAATTGCCGTTTCTGCCCTGGCAATTGCGATATTAAGAGTACGTTTCCTCCAGGCAGCTCCCGGGATATCGACTGCATCTGGAACAGGGGCGAGGAAATTCAAGGCAATAAGTAAGTCAATCCTTTTTTTTCCCATTGGCCTCCTCGTGTCTGTACAGTCTTTCTGAGATCTAAGACGCTGGGGGTATAATGGAAACCGGGACTGTTTTGTATCGTTGGTGAGAGTTGGAGATTGCAACTTGAGTAAGTCGGAATTTAAATGTTCAACATGAGTAGCGCAGGACTAATACATACAGACGCCATCACTCAATGCGGAGTGTCTGTTCCAGTTGGCTTTGCTCTTGATAGTGGATGAACGAGTAACTGTGACATATTTTAGATAGCCATTAAATCCATTTATTCCCTTTGTTCTAAGATCTGGCTCAATTCCTATTGGATCAGCTCAGGGAGGCCATAAAAGATCTCAGTTGCTGACGATTGACCCAAGTGCTGGGAAGTATATCCAAGAAATGAAGTTGAAAACGCCATCCACAAGCGTGATGAAACGGGCCGCTAAAAGATTATCGACAGCCTGGAAAACTATGTCAGACGGAGACCAACGTAGAATTGTGCCAGCATGGAATATAGAAAGTCCTTGAAGCTACTCCTCTGCCGTCTGCAAGTAACTTTCCTAACCTTATACCACCACTGATACGCTAATAGATTCGACCTGGATGAGTCCCAAAACCTTCACTGCGATGTTCTATGGAAGATATAGCTCTAAATTATATATATCGGCACGGTACTGACCACAAAGATTTAATGAACCTTAGAGCCGTTCTTCATGCTTACCACAACGGTGATCTCCAAGTTATTGACGAAGGTGACACTTTAGTTCACCGGAGAGAAGAATTGGGACCAATTAATCAGGATAACCGTCACCCCAGTTTCTTGTTCGTCTTATTCGAGAAAGTCACCGAATGGCATGCTCAGCATGGGAGTGGCCGTTATGAATTGAAGATGTACTTATGCCCTTTCTGATGTTATTCTACATAGCTAACATGCTACTAGCCATTCACGTACCATTTTCAGTAGAGAATGAACTGCACTAGACAGACTGAACTCATCGAAGTGAGCATTGTCACATCCAGGGGACTTGCGTGCGTGACTGCCAAATAACACCTCATGAGATAGCCTACGAGAATGGGCGTGTCAATGTCGTGAAGCAGTAGTTGCTGGTGCTGCATTGCATGGAGACTGGTCATGCTCATAGCTGATATGGAGCGAAAGTTAAAGGACAAATCATTACAGACCTAACAATCAACTGTAACTAACATTCGGAATCATACTACCTGTTGGTTTGGTGGGCGGTGACCAGTATATATATCAGCTTCCCCAGGGAAGTGTCTGAAAGTAGGACCTGTCTTTAGAAAGTCAGTATATATAGGAACATAGATATATCAAGGTCATATCTAATAGTACCCAATGTATCGATATGCTGAAACCTGTGCTCCATAGTCCGAATTCAACTCTCCGCTCCGCTCCGCACTAATCTTCCCTCCATCTCAACTTTCACCTCCACAACACATGGATCTTCTATCAATCCTCCCCTCCTTCCCAACAAAACCCTACACGCACATACTACCCCCTCTCGAACGAAACAACATCAATACAGTCGACCTCATCACCCTCGACACCCTCGAGATCGCAAAACGCGCCCATGTACCCCCGGCCGATGTCCGCCGCCTGTCCGCGCAAATCATCGACGCCTTACACCGCGATGTGGGGTTTGAAAGGGACATAGCACCGGAAGAGTTGGGGAACACACAGTCTTCGAGCTTGGATACGGAGGCGGCGATGGTTCCGGGAGTGTTGAATAGGTTAGATTTGTCGCAATGGGGTGCGGTTAGTACGTTGGATCCTGCGATGGATGAGTTGTTGGAGGGTGGAATTCCGACGGGTTATGTCACGGAGATTACAGGTGAAAGGTTGGTCTTTCTCCCCCTGTGTTTGTTTCGATTTGTGCATGGCATGCTGAGGGTACCAGCGGGAGCGGCAAGACGCAGTTTCTCCTAAGCCTCCTTCTTGCCGTCCAACTCCCCAGTCCCAGAGGCCTGAACAAAAGAGCTATCTATATATCTACCGAAGCGCCCCTAGCTACGCCGCGTCTCTCGCAATATCTCGATTCCAATCTATACCTCTCGACGCTTCCTCCGAACCAGAGACCATCCCTACAGAATGTCCTGGCCATCAACGCGATGGACCTGGAGAGTCAGGACCATATCCTCAATTACCAGCTCCCTGTCGCGATAGCAAGATATAATGTTGGATTGGTTGTTATCGATTCCATAACTGCGAATTTCCGCGCAGAGCACTCATCGCATGATATCAATTCGCTATCGACGCGGTCCGGAGAGTTAGCAAAACTGGGACATTTACTGCGCAATATGGCGGCAAAGGAGGACATCGCTATAGTGGTTGCGAATCAAGTGTCAGACCGATTCGATCCAATGGATAATAATATTCCATATATCGCATCGCGAATACCTGCTGCCACCGCACCTCAACCAACCCCAGATTCACCCATGCCCAGAAGCCGCCTAGCATCAGGGCCAGGAGCAGAAAGCAACAACGACCTCCTACAAATACAAAACCAACACCCACCCTCTTCTTCACCTGCCTTCCCTTCATCTCCCTATCCCCTTGAAGAAGATCCGCAATTCGACGGCTCGTATCTAGTCGGAAACCCCGTTCGCAACGAAACATTGAGCCTATTACACCAGCAACGCTTTTTCACGGGATGGGGTGATTCACCGTACATATCGTCGTTGCAGAGACAAACACCCAAAACACCAGCGTTAGGGTTCGTTTGGACGACGCAAATTGCGTGCCGAATTGCGTTGAAGAAAGACGACTCGGGGTTGGCGTTGGACCAAGGTGATTACGACGATGGGTACATGAGCACGCAGGGCCATGGACCGGGGGCATTTCAGTCTCAGAATGAAATACCGCCATCTATTACCAAACCTGACCCATTCTCGACAGCGAAGACAGTGCGAGATAACCCAGAAGCCAACATGACCGCCAATCCAGAGCAGAAACAGCCCTTTGAACAAACTCCAACACCAAAGTCCCCTCCGTCAATACCATTGGCACCGACACCGAAACCCATGGGAACACTCGCCAAACGAACAATGAAACTCGTCTTCGCGCCCTGGACGGCAGGATCTACCGTCGACGAGGGCACTACGGGCACTGTTCAAGATGAAGTCGAGTTTGAGATTTGGAAGGGTGGATTGAGGAGTGTTGGTTCTGAGCCGGAATCATAGATCAGTTATGGTTAGGACAGGATGTGATATGAATGCACATGACATAGCTTAGCGTGCTTTCGAAGTTACACTGGAATTCTTACAAGCATAAAGACTATTATCCTGCATATAACATTGCTATAAATGGTACTTTAAGAAATGAGGCTCCGCGGTTTTCCCGGGAGCCGAATACATCCCAACCCCACATACTCCTGGTTTTCATTTCATGTTTGCCCTGTATACTTTACTTCCTACCGAGAACCTTTGTTAAACAAGTTCATTTAACTGCAATCATCTATTGGCAAATAACTAGCTGATTCGTGATCTCGTGGCGACTCCGCCGACAGACAGTGCCGGCGGCCTATGTATGAAACGAATGATCATGCAAGAAATGTGAGACGAGAGAAATGTGCACACAGACAGACGGGCTGTTCTCCCCAGATTAAATCACAAATATTATTGGGGGGGGACGATGGATGAGAAGGGAAAGAAACAAGATACACCAACAAAAAATGACGGACAGAAAAAATTTTCACCTCCAAATACGCCTTTTCTAATCAACCAACATGATATGTTTAACTAAATCGATCATTCATCTGACAAATGTGTGTTGTTTCCATGTATCGTGGCAATTTTCGATCCTGCGAGTGACCACGAGGCGTCTTCACCATACTGGACCAGATGGGTCTGACCAGATGCTTGCTTGTTCTTGACTTAGTTGGCAGCAACCTTGGCCGGAGGGACACCAATGCCGTTGGTGTTGCGGTAGAAGAGCACGCCCTGGCTCTCGCCCTTGGCACCCTCGGTGGGTTCAACCCACTGGCAGGTGCGAGCGCTGGTCCACATAGCCTTGAAGAATCCAGTCCAGCCGGTGTGAGCCTCGGTGCGGTAGTGGCTGCCCATGACCTCCTTGATGGCCTCGCTAGCTTCGTCGGCGTTGTAGAAGGGGATGGTGCTGACATAGTGGTGGAGGACGTGAGTCTCGATGATCCCATGGAGGATGTGACGGCCGACGAAACCGAAGTCACGGTCGATAGTGGCGGCAGCACCACGGGCAAAGTTCCAGACCTCAGGCTGGTAGTGGGGGAGGGAGGGGTCGGTGTGTTGGAGATAAGTGATGGCCACTTGTCTTAATTAGTTTTCTTGTGTTTTCTTCTTGAACGGAAGAGAACTTACCAAGCCAGTGGTTCACCCAGAGGTAAGGAATTCCATACCACACGAGCAAGTTGAGCCAGCCATAGTTGGTACCGATAAAGTACAAAACCGAACCGGTGATAGCGAGACCGAGGTCACTCAGGAGAATGAGCTTGGCGTCCTTGGCCTCATACAGAGGGCTGGAGGGGTTGAAGTGGTTGACACCGCTAAAGTAACCGTTGCGCTTACCCTTGCCACGGCCCTCGGGCTGGTTCTCGTGGTTGTTGTGACCAGTAACGTTGGTGAGGAGGTACATGGGCCAACCAAACAGCTGCTGCATGATAACGTTGCTGGCGGTGAGGAAGGGGGTCTCCTCGAGCAGCTCGTTTAATTCGTGGATAGCCTTGCCAACGCGGGAGGCATACTCAGGGCGCGTCTTAGGGACAAAGACCATGTCACGAGCGATGTTACCGGTGGCCTTGTGGTGCTTTCCGTGGGAGATCTTCCACGAGAAGTAAGGGACGAGTAGAGCAGAATGGCAGATCCAACCGACAGTGTCATTCAGCCTCTTGGAAGGCGAGAACGCCTGGTGACCACATTCATGAGCCAAAACCCAGATACCGGTACCGAAGAGACCCTGAAGAATAGTGTACAGCCCCCACAGAGCAAACCGGAGAGGGTAAGAAGGCACGTTCTCGGGGGTCACAAAGTTCTGAAAGACATAGAAGATGGAGGCGATGACGGCGATATCCCGGGCCACATAGGACAAACTCTTGACGGCAGAGCGCTCGAAGCAGTGGGCAGGGATAGCATCCCGGATCTGCTTGATGGTGTAGTCGGGGATCTTGAACTCATTGCCATAGGTGTCGATCATCTTGCTCTGACCCTCCTTTTCAGCATCCGACCCCATGGACGAGAGAGAGGTGGACGAGGGCGAGTGACGAGGGCTGTCCAGGGGAGAGGGAGAGGCCGAGACGTTGCTAGAATCGGTGGTAGGGTTGCGGTGCAGCGCAACGCGCTTAGGGAGAGCAGTGGAAGACATGGTTGGTTGATCTCCGGTAAGGATAGACTGACTAGTCGAGGTATTGTCAGTCAATTGATCCGGAGGACTGTGCCAGGAAGAAGTTCTAACTGGAGTGGGAGAAAGAAAAGAGTCGGGGGAGAGGAGGGGAGAGGGGGGTTACGACTCTTAAAAGAACCGAAGAATGAGAAAGGGTGTGGGGAGGGACGGATGACAGACAGCTAAACAACGCCACGCACTCACCGGATCAACACGCAGAAAAACAAACCAACAAACTAAACGGCGTCTGGAAGGGCCCCGGTTTTCAACTGCTCAACGGCGACTGGAGGGTTATTAAAAGAGGGTCGAGGAAAGGAGAGAGGGAGAAAGAAAGAGAGATGGCAAGTGCAGGGACCAGCGGAACCCCCAGGGAAAATAAAAGACGGCAAGCAGCTGAAGAGAAAAAGACGAGAAAGGAAAGGAGAGAAAATTCAGAAGAGAGCAAGAGAAAGGAGAGAGAATCTGGATGAGGATCTGTGTTTGGATGCGTGCCAGGTACCGTACCGAAAGATCGTATTGGTAATTTTCAGAGATGATTTACAATGCCATTGGTGCAGACTCTGCAGATTTGCCTTGAGCGGGTAATTTTCAAATATGCCATGGTTCAGCTCTCCTGCAGCGTGACTGCACCTCAGCAACTCTAATGACCAACCACTGTTCAGCCTTCTTTGGGCGCACACCGCATATGAACAGGTGTTTTGCTGTACTGACCTGTACAGAGTATTGAACATTGGCATTGTACAGAGTATGTACTCTGTATGGTACTCTGTGGCAGCTCACCGCCCGCACCAATGGCGATCGTGAGTGGATCCGGGCAGAGGGGAAGAATGGCTTTCTCAACAATCACATGTACTCTATACAGTGTACCCCGAGGTAAAAAAAAAAATTTATACTGCGTAGAGTGCAGTGCTATGTAGAGAGAGGTAGGTAAGAATCTAGCATTCACATCCTTACTCCGTACATGTGCAGAGAATGATCGTAGCTGCGTGAGGGGTACTCCGTACTCCAACCGAAAGTGGTGGGGCGGAGATGATTCGGGGCTTTCTTATCAGACCTGGAGTAAATCAAATCACATGTTCCGGAGTATACAACCTCCATAACTTTGTTCTCTACGCTTATACCCAATTGGTTATCCTGCATACAATGAATATGTGCATAATTACAATTATTTATCTCTTGAAAATATATATACTCTCTCAGCGCTATCCTACACTCTACAATACATACTGAACCATACTATAGTCTGAACATGTGAGCCCAATCCTTCCAGAACATCGACCGGCCCACTTTTTCTCCCGCCACAAATCCTAAGATCAGCCCAGGGTCTGTGGTTATCAGAATTGACCAATCAGAGACGGAATATATATGCCCATGATGCATGTACAGCTAGCTTTTCTTGTAACATGTGATTTTGTGGTACAAGTACAAATACATAAGTAGAAACTATTTTTGTACAGGATAGGTATTTTCAATTAGATATATATGGTGGTATCAATATAAGTATTGTCCGTTGTATGCCCCGTACATAGTTTTCTGTATTAAATAGATGAGTAAATTGAGGACTGATCACACTACCGAGACAGCGCAGAGCCGAGTCTTAGTCTTGTTGGGGAAAACTCTGCGTTTTTGTTGAGCCGGTGGGTCTCTCTGCCTTTACCCTTTTAGGCTGTCAGTCTCGGGCGCTAGTATATCATACAGTATCACTCTTTGCAAATTACACTCTCAATACACGCCTCTCATCGCAGCCATATTCCGCCATCTCAGCTGAACTGAACTTATACCAAATGGATTATGTACTTGTATGTTCACTGGCTAGTGATATTATTGCTATACACCCGTCGCTCGGAATCAACCAACCATGATCCTCCGCCATTCTGGCTCCCCCCAGACGTGCTCAGACTCACTGTCGTCTTGCGGAGATCCGGCAGCACCTGCACCGTCTCACCGTGATTACGATAATCCACCTCGCACGCGATCTGCCTCCGCTGCAAGGGTGCCCCGGCATTGCCCGATCCCGCTGTTGCAGTAGCAGCAGCAGCTAGTGTGGTGGCGGCAGTCGTCGACGGTGTTGTGACCACAGTGGGCGTAGATGAAGCCGGCACAAAGGCCTTAATCTCCAACCCCGGCAGAAGCAAATGGCCTGCCTTCTGTGGTAAAAGCATCACAGCAAACGTCGTGGTTTCGCCCTCGCAGGCCAGAAAATTCCCTCGCCGGCGACCTCCCACGAGCCATAACTCCGGGTTGGTATGGAGTTCGTATGCGAATTCCAGCGCGCTACCAGCATGCTCTTGGTGTTCTGGTGAACACCATCTCCGCGTGTGACGTAGGCGTAGCTCCGCGGCGATCATCTGCCCAACTGCCGCGTGCGTGGTGGTGGGTTGTGCGTCGGCCAGGGGCCCCAGTCGAAGTTCGGCCGTGTGCACAACCTGGATCTCTGGGATGTCGACGGGGATCACGATGCGTCGGCTGGGGATTATGGGTTGTTGGGGCGGGAGGGTGATGGTCGGGTGTTTGTGGTGCCAGTCCACGAGCCATTTTCGCAAGTCCTCAGCTGGGCCTTTCAGGGCGCTAAAAAGGGTTTCCCAACGGACGCTCTCGTACGCGAGCGTCCCAACCTCCCGTGTTAGTGCGACTACTTCCATATCTGACGTTGATAACTGGGCCCGGAATGCGTCTATGATGTGTGACGTGAGTATAGACGTATGACGGCGGAATTCGCTCGCTTCGATGTCGGCTCGGAATGTCTTTTCAACAGAATCCAGACACTCGTCGTCAATGCATGTGAACTCAACAGTCAGGCGCAGTGAGCCTTTGGCCCCTGGGGAAGCGATACCATCCTTTCGTGGCAGAATTTTGTAGAGCAATGACGCTGGCTGATTGGGGAATACATCCCACGCCACCTTTTCCCGGACATTCGATTCAACCTGATATACGTCCGAGCTGGGAATGCTGCAGCCAAGTATCCGCAGAGGGACCATCATAGCCGGACTGATCGTAAACCGCGAGAATAGAGCTTCATCCTTGAAGATATCCTGCACATTGACACTGATCGGAAGGGCAGAAACAACGTTATGGACCGACGAGTACGAAAACCGTCCATGTTCTGTCTCGTAAGTAACCTCCGCCCGCGCAGACAACATCGGGTGATTCTCCTCGACCGTATACGGAATTCGGAACCGAACAAAAGACCTTGACCCGAACTGGGAGAATTCAATATTCCCTGATTCATTATTGGCCGTGATGTTCATGTCGCCCTCTACGAGCTCCGCCTCTGCGCTCCGTAGTCGAAGCCCAGCCGTCGCGGGTCGTACTCGAATCGTCCCGCTCTTAATGTTGTTTCGTCCGCTGTGAAGCTCCAATTCCAGTGACCGCATCTCTTCCAGATTGATCAGGCGGGTAGACACAACCCTGGCCTGGAGACCTTCGGGTGGCGGGTAGCAGTAAACATAAGACCGACCATCTTCATCTGTAGCGTCTAGGCTTTCTCGGAGGCCCAAGGGAAGGGCAGAGTGTTTTCCACCTCCCAGCGTAAACAAAATGTTGCCTGCTCGCATCTCAATGCGATCCACATAGTACTTCCCTTGGAGGCTTGTCTATAGTATTTCATTAACACGAGAGTAAGCCAAGCTCTAGGTGTTTGACTTACCGAAGAATCAATGAGCAACCGCGTCGAGGTCGACTTGACAACAGTCCTAGCGCAAGTCTCAATCCAATGCTCATTACTCTGAGACCCATTGGCACTGACAAGCCGGACCTTGACGGTATCGACATCAATCTGTTTCCCTAACAGAAAACGCAAGTAAAGCTGAACCTGGAACCCATCTCTATCTTCGTAATGAAGAACCACAGGGTCAACGCGCATATCCGCAAAGAAATCCGACAAAGAAGCAGAAACTTCCTTCTGCAGCGTACTTGACGTCTCGAATAGTTCGTCAACGTACGGAGACACCGGCGATAATATAGGAGAAGTACCGAGAATCTTCTGCTGGTGCCCAGTCAAATTGGCCTGCGTGTGCGCAGCAAATTTGGCCAGGAGACGGAGAAGCATGCGAGCGTATTCCTCACTCTTCTTCAATTCCTTCAAGCACCGCGCATACACCTCCAAGATAGCTCCCTCCAGGACGTTCCAGTGCTTATTGCCGTAGAACGGGGCGATCTGGTGAAAGTGGGCTGCCGCTGCGCTGTAGTCGGCTTGACGGTATCGTAGTAAAGCAGTGTCTGCAATAGCCATCTCGGCGGAATAGGGACGATTTGCTGCGATATTATGACGGAACATCTGATCTGTGAGTTCCTCATACAGAGCGCGGAAGGCGCGTCTCGATTGCAAAGCAGTCTTCAGTCCGGGTAGGTCAATACCGCAGAGAGAAGATGAGGTTGGCTTGGGAGGCACTTGGGTCCCGCCCAGTTGCGCATCGTCCAACGATATTTCTTTCATGTCTCCTCCCTCACCAGCACCTTTACTGTCGAAAAGAAGACCGAGGTCATTCCATTTCTCTTTCCAGCCACGCCGTCCAGCAATATCTTCCAGAACCCGGCGAGACAGCAAATATAACTCCCCCCTTCCAGACGCCAGTTGCTCTGAACCAGTTTTAGGGTTTAGACTAGGCACAGGCTTCGGATCCGATCCAGGACGGGTGTGGACAGGAGCAAGGACATCAAAGATATCCTGACTTGCTGGACGAGGGGGGCGAGGAGCAGGCGAGGTAATCAGGGAACTAGAGCGTTTGGGAACATCAGGTCTGATCTCGGCGGCAGCTGATGATGAGGAAGACTCCATCGACTTTTCGATGGCACGAATGGTGTCAGGAAGCGTAAGGCTTGGTGCTGTAGTCTGAGACAGGATTTGCGACGTAGCAGCATACGTCCAGGAAGACACAATGTTGTTGATTATTTCGGCCTTGGATGCGTTGTCCACCTCGGCCAGGCCATATTCCAGATCGCATCGGAGCGTCCGTGCCGCAAGAGCGATGAACTCAGTGGCTCTCTCGCATGTTTCTGAAAGCAGCATCAAATTCTCAGGCTTCTTTTCCTTCTTGAATAATTCCTGGTCCTCGTTGACCACTGATGGGGCTCGTGCTGCCCTCAGAAGTAGCGTCAGTTGTCGCGAAAAGACGTAGGTCCGGAAATCGAAAATGGAGATATCACTGGCCAAGATCATCTCCCGGTAGGGCTTTTTAGTTGAATCGAATGGAAAATCGCTAGATTCGATTCCCGGAATCGGGGTAATTTCCCCCTCGCCCTCATTCTTCGGATCATCACCTCCAGCCGGCAGAGACTCCAGTGCCTTTTTGGCCATCCCATTCCAATCCTTGCTGTACGTCAATAAAGCGCTACCATGGTGATCACCACTTCCCTCAAGCTGCTCATGGATTGCGCTATCCAGCCCAACAGCAAGCTCATCGTACCCAACTAGCGCATCTTCAAACAATCCCACGTTCTCAAAACCTCTCGCAAGACCTTCCTTCAAGATGAAGAACGTACAGAAGTTCCAACCTGGAAGACTCCGTTGCGAGTCCTTCTCCTTGATATCCTCTTCATACTGTGCAACCCGGAGATCAAACGACGCCAGAATCGCATTCTTCATCTTTTCCACCAAGTCCTCGATTTGATCAGACAGCTCGGACGGTTTCTGCGTTGTTCCCGGTTTAGGAAGCCGTAACTGAGCGACCCGGTCTACTGAAGACTTTGACGATCCGTTAAAGTCGGCCTTGAGCTTCTCCAGCACAGAAGTGGTACGCTGGCCCCATTTCGACGTACTCGCGGCCTTCTCAGCGCCGTCTCCATCCTGCACGACATGGACAACCAACCACTCAAAGGCATCGTGTTTCTCCTGGCTACTAGAAGTAGTCGTCGACGAAGAAGAGGTATTGTTTTGTGGCGTCGAGGCTTGGGTTTTGATCCATTCGCGCACTGCTTTCCGGGCGGTGGCCTTGTAGGTGTCGTTATCGTCGCATCGAAGTAGGTAGATCTTCAAGTATGGCGTCTGTCGTAGACCTGGAATCTGATGGCGTCGGTGTGGAACAGTACCAGGGGGCGTATCACTAGAGGGTTTGCGCTCTGTATTGTCTTGTTGCACTGCAGGGACGAAGCCGATGCGGAGGGATTCGATCGAGCGGACGGGACGACTGGGGGACTTCCAGTGGAGGTTCTTGAACGGGAGTTTGTTTTCGAAGATGGGCTGGACCAGAGGGAATAGGCCGGATGGATCAGTGTATTCGACTATAGAAAGATAATTAATTAGTCAATGAACAAACAGAAAGAATTGGAGGACGTCTCTCCCACTTACCGGTCACATTGCTGGAGCCCGCCTGCGGTGATGTGTCCATATTTCCCGTACTCTAAGGGAAAGAGGGGAAGAAAATAAGTACTTCAAAATGGCATTCCGTTTGGGTTAAAGTAAAGGGACAATTCCCCAAACGATAAAACAGGAGACCAAATCTTCAATTGTGACAATCGCAGGCGGTGCTTAGAGAGTGCCTGGCGCTGTTGTTTGGTTGTTCTCCGCGCGACGGTTGTCCAGACACGCACAGGCCACACTTTGGCAGATCCATACTTGTGAAGTATACAAATGTGTATGTGTATTCGTAGATGAGTCTAGTTAACTGAATCTACAGTGTATAGAGAGTATCATCCTGTACAAAACCATAAAACCCCAGAAACATGTAGGCATATCATCGTTAAGCAAAAAGGAAAAATAAGAAAAGTCATCAAATGTCAAGTATTACCTACCGAATCGCTTGCTCGAGAACAAAGGAAAGCGCAGAATAAAAATCCCATAGAAAAAAAAAAAAAAAAAAAAAAAAAAAAAAAAAAAAAAGCATTCCCATTACACGCCAACTTCCAGTGCGCCTTGTGTATTGCGAGTTGCAATGAACTCATACCCATCCGAAATAGCACGCCAAATACCTGGAGCATAGTTTCGTGCCCATGCGCAAATGACCAAAAGCAAAAGAGGAATCTAAATAAAAATTTGAGTCAGTAACGTAAGAGACATGGATCATGGAGGTATACTTACCCAAATGAAATACAAGTTCCGGTCACTGCCCAATCCCTTCATTCTTTGCGCTTGTTGTGCTCGGAGATGCTTCTGTTGCTCGCGAGAGATCACCTTTCGGCCAATTCTGATGTCTTTGAGGTCTTCCTTATCCTCCTTGACGGGAGCGGTCTGGGATCGGCTGGATTGCGCCTCAAAATGCTGGTCCACCAATGCCTCGGTGGCTGCCCGCATCAAAGACGTCTTCTTCATCTCCGACGTCTCTTCTGTCTCTTGCTCCTCCTTTCGTGGATACAAGTCCTCGTACGAGGGTAGCTCGGTAGTCGGCGAGGGATTGCTGCCGTTACCCTTGAGCAGATCCCACCAGCCGTCCCTTGTTGACCAGGAAGCGGTTGGGTTAGGCACCAGGTTGGTGATACGACGCATCATAGGGTGCGCTTGGTAGTCAGGCAAAGCTGGCATAGGAGGCAGAGCAGGAAGATTAGGGAATGCGTTGGAAACACTTTGTTGGAACTGGTTGATCTGAGCCTGAAGCTGGTTGCGCCAAGCGACGAGAGCTGCCGGAGGGGAGAATGGCCGGGCGACCTCAGCTGGTTCTGTGCCCTCGGATGTGAGTGGAGGCTGAGCGTCCTGGTGGACACTAGGACGTCGAGACGAGGTGTGATCAGCTTCCAAGTCGGAATCGTCATCCTCTTCAGAATCATCCGAGTCCTCAATCGCATTGTCGAACGAACTGGAACCAGACGATGTTTCCCAGAGCGAGTGAAGCGACGCAGAACTGCCGTGCCGACGCCGCGACGAGCCCAAAGAACCAACACTGCGCGAGCGATAGTGTCGTGCAGGCAACAACGCGGCCTGATGGGCAGGGAGTGTCGAGGCGAGATCAGCTGGCGTAAAGCCTCTAGTACTGCGGGCGTGTGCATCTGCACCAGTCAAGCGAAGTCGATGGACGATGTGCGCGTGGCCATTCAAAGCTGCCAAGTGCATTGGTGTGTTTCCAGTGTTGTCCTGCACGTCTGGATTGGCACCCCGAGCAAGGAGTCCTGCAACAAACCGTGTCAACCCCAAGGAAGACGCAAAATGCAGAAGAGTCTGCCCCGTTCCGCAGCGCGAATTATACTTCGGTGGACGCGGGCTATCGTCAAGGTCAACAAATTCAAGATATGTCAGCATCTTCGAATCCAAATCTGTCAATTGACCTTGGGACTCTAATCCAGGGACCTGGCGTTGATGACCCCCGCCGGAACCATTTTGGAAATCCTTGTGAAGATTGAACATCGCCTTCGGGTCGCTTCCCATGATTTGCTGGGCCGTATGGAACGCATCTGCCTGGCTTCCCAGCTTCTGCCCAAGAATACCAAGAGCCAGGCGGTACATTTGAAGTTCGCGATCATCTACGTAGCGGAAAAATTGCTGTTGCTTCGGTATTAGGGGCTGAGTCTGCATCTGACCAAATGTCGGGTGTTCATGTTTAAAGACGACTGCTACCAAGCCAGGCTGCAGGGCAGGCGGAGTCAGACAATTCAGGCATTTGTCGCCCCAGAAAGTTGTGGTCGTTGCAAGGGTGTCTCCGAAGACAACTTCCATACCCGGGTAGAAACCGCTGCCTAACAGTGTGACTTCAGTCCCACCTGTGATGGATCCTTCTGCAGGTACCAACTTGTGGATGACAGATGGTAGTCGGTTTCCAGCATTGGTCAATGGAGGCCACATCGGGGTCGACGGACTGGGGCCCAAGATGTTCAAACTCTGCTCCTGGAAGTTATTGCGAGCCGACGACCCAGGAGAACCAGGGCGACTAGGTTGGGCCGAATTTGGAGCCGATATCAATTGCTGAAGGCTATCTGCTCTCGACTGCTGAGCATTTAGGCTAAAGAACGGGTTATTGTCGTTGCTATTCGGTGTAGGAGGGCCGTTTGCAAATTGGCCAGGCATAGCGGACGGCGATACAAAAGGTCTCTCGGTTGGTGATGCAAATGCACGTGTCGTTGGCAATTGGGAGCCGTTACTCATGGGCTGTGCTGTAGCCCCGGAAGATGGTGACTGAGAATTCTCGAGTTTAGTCATAGTTAACTCCGACGGAAGTCTGCTCGAACTGCTATGCTTGCGCCGCTTGCTCATCGGGCCCTGGAAGTCATTTGGCGATGTTTGCCGCGAAAGATTCCGATGTGATTGTGAATTCGATGCACCATGCGTCGAGTTCTGAGGAATGGCAAATGAGCCTGGCGTCGCCTGATATTGTGAGTTCAGCTGTTGCTGGAGACCTTGTAAGTCGGTTGTCGAGGATGCGGCTTGGAACGAAGGCTGCGTCATGGCGGTCGATTTGCCGGTATCGACATTGGTTCCTGAGTGGAAGACACCGACACCGGGGAGTTGTGTCCCATCGGGCAATGCGGGGGACGGACCAGGCGCAGGAGGTGCGGGGGGAGCGTGTGTCTTATGGTCATCCGTGATCATGATCGAATTGGTTATGGCCTGGGCAATGACATTGCCCACCCAATCCTTGACTGTAAAAATGACCCTAGGAAGCGAACATTGTCAGCTTACCAATCGGGAAATAATTGACGTGAGTAACGGGATAGGGGGACGAACTGAAACCCGAGCTTTTCATTCTGGTGCCTGCAATAGCATGCTATTCGCATAGGTAACTCCACCTGCATCGCGCCAGCAGGAACTTTGGGAGGCGGGATGTCGCTGTAACTCGGTACGCTGTTTTTGGACGCTTCTGTCCACTCCTTGAGCTCATTGGTATTGAACACAATAACCCTCTTCTCCTCATCCTTTTGGAACAGTTCATCTTCCTCGGGCTTCCTCTGCTTCTTCCGGGAGGCACGTTTCCGTTCACGTTGAATACAGCCGGCACAGATTTTGACTTCTCCACCACCCAACGGTGTGTCCTCTTCTTGTAATTCATCTGTAGACGATAATTTGGAGTACACCTCACCTCGCGCTTTAGCAAATGCTCTTTGAAGTCTTTGCTGGTCCTGCATTGCACTGGTGCAGACGAGACTGGTGTGCAATTCCATCGTATCGGGCGATCGCTCGGTCGATGCCGGGGCAAGGAACTTGGGTTTCGAGATTGTGTGACTTGGTAACCGTAATTTTTTCACTCCAGGTGGCAGCGGAAAGAGCGTTAGCCGAATTGGAATCTGGGTTTCCACACGTGATTTCAAGGAGGTTGGATGCACAGTCAGGACATGACGCTGAGGCGGCTCCGGTTTGATGTGATTTTGTGGAGGCGATGGAGCAAGATCCATGCCAAATGAAAAATTGTTCTGTCCAAAGTTGAAGCCCGTGTTCATGGGAGAACCGCCATTCATGTTGATTCCTCCAAAGCTTTCCTCCAGGATAGATGATGGCGATTGACCACCCCATTGGCTGGCAGGTGACGGTTTCCCTTGAGCGGGTAAGTTCGAAGAACCCGGGAAAGGAGACATCTCTCGGAGACCATTGGGGAAGAAAGGAGAGGCAGATGTTGGAAGCTATAATTAAGAACGTTAGCGGAACATGTTCGCTAGGATCCAATTGGGACGCATACAGGAGAAGTAGATTTCCTTGTAGAATTAGAGTTCTTTCGAAGTTGGGACTTAAACCTCTTCTGAGATTTGGGTTGTGGTGTAACATTAGCCTTCAGGAGACTGGGACTGCTAGCAGCACTCTCAAAATCAAACGCAGCATCCATCGCTTTGTTACTGAATTCGAGATCGCCATCCATTGGCAGTCCATTATCCATGGGTTGGAGTGACGTGTCCAGCCCGAATAACGGTTCTTCCTTAACTGATTCGAGATCAGGGTTCATCCAATCTTCCGACGGTGTATATCCAAACGGCATCATTGAGCTCTCACCCGCGGACGAGGCGACCGATGAGTGTCGAAGATGCTGATTCCGCGGCGACTCTGCCGACGAGCTCCGGCTTGAGTTGTCTGGGGATTCTGCGGGCGAGTCGGCGGTCATGACGCGGGGCTGTCGCAAGTGATCCTGTTCTGCATAATGTCTTTTTACAGACAATTCAGATGGGGACAAGCATGCCGACTCAGAATCCGTAAATGTTCGCGAGGTATGCGCTAAGAGGTCGTCGAATTCCTGGCCAGCGGATCCCGATGACATCTGCAGTCTTGCAGGATCGAGAAAGTCAACGTCCACGTCTTGATAAGCGTTTTCCATCTCGTCGTCCACGATAACCGGGTCCAATATGGGAAACGCAGGTGAAGGAGTCTCCACTGGGGCCATCCTCTGATATCCTCACGGAACACGAGAAACCCAGTGAATGGAACGACGTAGAGATCCAATTCGGAAGAATTAAAATCCAATCCGGCTGGGCCTATTTTTCTTTATCGGAAAAGGACTGTCGTCTCGAGTTGTCGCACAAGCACTTTCGTTCGGGAACTAGCAGGGAGGGGAGGGACGGCCGGTCAAAACACAAGGCGGCGTTGACCGCAAATGTGTGCGTTGTAATCGTATGTATGCGTTTCACACGCGAACGCCCAAAGGACCAGCCCTCTTTTTTTTTTTTTCTTAACCCAAGCACAATACGTCTATTCCGTCGAAAGTATCCTCGAGGGCAGTTCTAGGACAGGGAGATAATAAAGCGGATATGGATTCGAACGGTCGGAGTTGAAGATCTGGGGAGGGAAATTGGCGTGCGGCTGGACAAGTTCTGTCGGGTGGAAAAGGAGATAGGTGAGGCGAGAGAGGACGGCACGGTATAGGGAGGGCTGGAAGTACGAGGGAGAAGGAATGATTATGAATTAGGGTAATATTGCAGTGAAGGAACGTGACAAGAAGGTTGATAGCAAGTGAAATAACCCAAAAGGGCCGTGGATGAAGGCGAGAGGGTATGGCTGACTGTCTCTCTGTCCTGTTTGGTTCGTTATGGGAATTGTGGACAGCCTCGGGCGGTGAGTGCCGGAAAGCGGGATAATGTGCTAATCTCGATCGGGAAGACATGCACATAATTAAAGCACAGATTACCATCCAGTCTTTTCTTATGTCTGTCAACTACAAAGTTCTTTTCATTTTGGTCATCGTGCTTACTGCACAATTGAACGGACTTATTGACAGCCATGGGCAAGCAGTGCAGGATATGGTTGCAATTACATCTCAGCTTGGCATTCGCATCAGCGACCCGTGCGTAATGGCTGAAGGTGAGATGCGAGACTATCAAATCATGAGAGTCCTGTATTAACAGTATTACGAGGGCTTTATCCTGCCCATTCCTGCAATTACTGTGTCAATGGATACAATTGAGCGCAGGCAAGATGTGTTTCGAGTATGGGGAATACCGGACAAAGATCTAGTATCGGTCTAGTTGAGAAACACCATGGCGCGTTTGCATTCTTGACACGACTGACGAACCCCTGGATTTGTATATGTTATCGTTCTAGAATTGTAGATTGTGTCACAAGATAACGCCATCTGCTCCGTACCGAGGATTGTTGTCAGCAAATCATCGCTACCATACTGTTCTATCATTGATTTGACATGGATCACAGGAAATTGAGATGCTCATCATCGTTTAGCTGGCATTGAAGGCTTTTCATTCCTATATAAAACTGGCAAATTTGCCATCAAACTACATATTTACCCATAAACCAACCAGCGCTATATTTACATGCATTGGTCATGCACGGTACTCTCACCGTTTTATGAATGTTGACGGAGGAGCACCTGCTCAAAGGATGCCCAAGCAGAGCCAAGAGCAGGTATTAGGCATCCGCAATACATTACTAACCGAGGAATTAGAAAAGGTTGTTAACAAGGTAAGAATTCTCTGATAATAAAAACTCAATAGCATCAACAAAGGAATGTCAGCCGTCAGAGCAATGATTTTTATTCGTTTTTCTGCGAGCTGCCATTATGAAGTTTCGCGGACTACTCATGCGTCGGATCTCGCATTCCAAACCATACCGGGAGGATGAAAGTGATAGAAAAGCCATTGAGTACAGGGGCGTTTTCGCAGGCTTACCCTGCCAATTTTTTGGATAGCAAATGGCTCATGGGCCTTGTCAATATGACAACAATCCTCCTTCATATCCAGATAAGATTCCCAACGTTTATGGTAGAGACATGTACCTGATTGAGGTGCCCGCTTTTGACTTCCATAGGGCACTCGCATATTGCCAAAGGGCCGTACGCCAAGATGCACGAGTCAACACAGTGCAATGGTCCAGAACAATTCCAGTCGGTCATATATGTGGATAGATTGAAGTATAATCCTGTAGATTGAATGTGCTCGGATGGTGGCGCTTGAATCTGCTGGGTGTTTCAAGTTTATATCGAGCTGCGGATAGGGCCGCGGAGTCACGCCTCGCAGTCTTCTGGGACTTGGTTTAGTCCACCATTGTATTATGCCCCTTGTCTCTGCGATCCTTTAGTCTCTTTTAGACTGATACACTATACTAATTGAAAGGTACAAGAGTTAGCGCTCAAAGTGAGTGGACTTCCCTTGGAGCTTGGACTGGTCCCTAGGGGGAAAAAAAAAAAAATTAAACTTATGTCGAGCTACTGGGTCAATGCCAGCAAATATACATGTTCCATTGTGACATAGAACAAGTTCTTCCATGATGATCAAAATCAAAGGCAGAGGAACATGTGGAACGTCCACTATCCAATTATCGATACGGAACGCACAACCGAATCGACGCTTCTGTCAATCTCCTGTCAATCGTCTGTCAATCGCCTGTTCATCGCCCATCAATCGCGAAAAAAGCAGTATCTTGGCTGTGTCAATCAAGAATCTCTGGAAATTATTACCCAAATGAAAAGACATGTGAAGAGATAAAGATTTGAATTAATCTCGAGCCAGGTGTGAAACCCGCTGTGTCGCATTTCAATAACTGCTCACCGTCCGCCAACCCCATTGATCAATGCGCTAATCAACCTCTCACCAACGGCTTCCGGAACAGCTGAACGCTCGTATTGCCCTTTCCCAAAGCGATGGCACTTGCAGCAATTGGAATGACATGATCCTCGGAGTATTCCTAGCGTAGTTTAGTGGGTGAAAATAGTTCATCTATTTCAGACTCCAATACTGAATGTCTATATCGACCCCTAATAATGGGAGGCGCCGGAAATCCATGGCACAATATGGTCGCAATTTGAGAGGACCCTGCAATGAACCTTTCATCATTTACTCTCAATTAATTTGGCGTGGGCATAAATGGGATGGCTTCCATGACAGCGAAAGATAAAAGGGCAGCATGTCCTCGAGCAGAGATGTTTTCTTTCCTCCTCATCAGCCTCGCCTCTGCATTCATTTCTGTCTGGGTCTTTGTACCTTTTCGTTCTCTTTATTTTCTCCGGCTTCATTGACTGAAGTCCTTCGTTTCTTACCGTCATTCTTTTTTTCGTCCGATCTACACGCTGTGCGTTGATCACCGAAACCAAATCCATTCGCAAAAATGTCTGTCACCAAGATCACTGGTCTTCTTCTCGGCTCGGCCGCTATGGTCGCTGGTCACGGTTATGTCTCCGGTGCCGTTGTGGATGGCCAATACTACGGAGGATACATCGTTACCTCCTACGCTTACACCGACAGCCCCCCAGAAACCATTGGATGGTCGACCGAAGCTACTGATCTGGGCTTTGTCTCTCCCAGCTCCTTCTCTGACCCGGATATTATCTGTCACAAGAGTGCGCAGCCCGGTGCCATCTCTGCTTCGGTGGCAGCTGGTAAGGATGTTGAGCTTCAGTGGACTGAATGGCCGGAGAGTCACCATGGTCCTGTCATCACCTACCTGGCCAACTGCAACGGTGACTGCTCCAAGGTCGACAAGACCTCGCTCGAGTTCTTCAAGATCGACCAGAAGGGTCTCGTCGACGACAGCAACGTCCCTGGCACATGGGCTAGCGACAATCTGATTTCCAACAACAACAGCTACACCGTCACTATTCCCAGCGACATTGCTGCCGGTAACTACGTCCTGCGTCATGAAATTATTGCCCTGCACTCCGCTGGAAACGAGGACGGTGCCCAGAGCTACCCTCAATGTGTCAACCTCAAGGTTACTGGTGGCGGCAGCGCATCTCCCTCGGGTACTCTTGGTACTAAGCTCTACAGCGAGGACGACCCGGGTATCCTCGTCAACATTTACCAGCAGCTCGACTCCTACGAAATCCCTGGCCCTGCTCTGTACTCTGGCGCTTCTTCGTCCTCCAACTCTGGCTCTTCTTCCAGCACTGCTTCGGCTTCTACTACTGCCACTTCTGCCACTACTTCGTCTGCCTCGTCCACCCAAGCTTCCGCTACCCCTGCCTCCCAAGCCAAGGCCCAAGTCTCTAGCTCTACTCCCAGCGCTTCGTCCGTTGCGACTTCTGGTAGCTTGTCCGACTACTTCAGCTCCCTGAGCGCTGAGGAGTTTCTCAACGTTATCAGCGAGACTCTGTCCTGGTTGGTTACTGACAAGATCCACGCCCGTGACATCTCGACCGCATAAATAGAAGGCACTGGAAAGGATGGAAATAGATGAAAGCTTGGAGGTCATGCATCCAATATCTAGATTGGCGGACTTTTTGTGGACCAGAAATCTTGTCTTTCTTTAGTTTCTTTTTATTCTTGATCATGTATGTATCTATACAAATTTATTTTTTGAGGCTTAACTCGTGTTTTTTTTTCCTGGATGAAAAGAGCAAGTATACTGTCATGATTTGTAGTAGAATATTAATACAGGAAAAATCATTGAGAGCCACAGTTACAGCTATATGGTATAATAGTGCAGTAGAAAGATAGTCTGTTGTTACTGTTGGCTTCCCTTTTACGTTTCAGACGCCTTACCCAATTAGTCGACCCTCTTCCAGCTTCACATCCTAACAACTTCAACCGTTCCAATCTCAAAGCTTCCTACTTCCTATCATCGACCAATTATCCATTTTCTCCATCTAACCAGTTTCCTCTTACCATTCTATCCGTCGTTATGCCGCCTCCTCCCCCGCCTCAGCCCTACGGCAAGAGTAACTACCAGATCCTCAAGGAAGGTGGTTGGAACAACACGCACGGCTTTATGCACACTTACAACCTAAATGCTTGAGAAGCGGAAGATTACGGGACGGCGAAGCAGATCTTGAAGGGTTTTCGTGAGATTGATCGGCAAGCTTGCGAGGAACAGTACGGTCATCACGGCGAGTTTGAGCAGAAGTACTACCAGGATGATCACTGTGATAGCAAGCATGGCAAACAAATCACTTGAGACACCTATCACAGTGGGCAGGAGGCTTGAGAGAACCAGTTTTACGAGCAGGGGGCTTGGGAGTATGACAATGGCGGAGATGAGGGCTGGGATGGTGACTGCGACAATAATTATGGTGATTACGGTGGCCAGGGAGACTATGGGTACTATTGAAAATTAGTATTTTGGTTCTGACTTTCTTCTATTTTTACTTGAGTACGTTTGACGCGTGGCTAACTATTTAATGGTCGGATAGACGCGGCCACCCTACGATTGACTATTTTTATGTTGAGTACGTCGATTGTTCGGGATATGGCATTTGTTGGAGCTGGATTGGATCTCTACATGATGCAAATAGTATGCTTAATGACTTATGAATAAGTGTCAGATCCAAAATGAATACGAAACTCGTTCCTCAAATCTTCTTGCAATTGTAGTAATACTTCCTTTAATTTTGCGTAGGCGTGGAAAAAAGGCAATAGAAAAAAATTTTCTATTACAGAGCTGTCAGTATAGTAGGATATTCCTCAGTATGAGGTGCTATTCCTTTTGCCTTTACGCTCGTTTGTACTACCTTGCCCATTACTCTCCAACTACTTCAACTATCCCAACTCCATCCTCTTACTTCATATTCTCGACCAGCTCCTACCTTCTTAATAGCTGTATTTATCGCCACTTTATCTGATCAGAATTTCTCTCCACTTTTAATTTTACTTCCATCATGCCTTCTCAACCATACGACAAAAGCAACCACGAGATGCTCGGGGAAGGCGGCTACGACAGCATGCACGAATTCGTCCACTCCTACGGCTTGAAGTCCCAACCAAGCAATTACGAAGAAGCAAGAGATAGCCCGAATGGTTTTCGTGAGATTGGTCAGCACGCCTGGGATGAGCAACATGGCTACCAGAGTGATGAGGACTGGGATGAGTATGATGAACAAGAGTCATGGGAATATCAGTATTACGAGAAAGAGCTCGGGAGAAGCATACTTCAGAGAATTCTGATGACGAATATGAACGTGAGTTCTCAGTGGGGGAATATGAAGATGAACTAGCGGCCTCAGAGGAGTATAGTGAACCGGAATATAGTGATCAAGAGGACTGGGGCGAGGGGCATAACTACTATAGTGATGAGAACGGTGGTCTATATTGATTGTATTGTATGTCCTTCGTGACATTCTTTTAATGTTGTATGTATGGCTTATTGTTTGGTGAAGAGATATGTTTCCGCGTCGACTAAGCGAAAATATATACAACAGACAATATGCCCTACGAGCTTAAGAAAAGAGGTGTCTCTAATGCGTTTTCTTGACCCACGGATGAATAAATGAATACCATGAAAAATGTATGTATTGAAACCAAATTAATGACTCAAATCCATTGGCAGTCATCGATGTAGTCATGGCTGTACCAAGGAGTCACCGGCGGGGAACCGAAACTAGAAACCGCGGCCGATCGTTGTTGCGGGACAATTATTTTATTCCTCGACCACCAACTCCATTACTTTCCTATAACCACTTATTGCCCAGAAAGGGCCCTGTACTTACATTCCCCCATTGACTGAGACTAGTATCTCTTTGCTGAATACAGCATACCCCAAGCATCATGTTTAAAAAGAAACCTACAGTGCGTATTCCCCTCCCCGCACAGCGTTTGCGATGCGGTTACGCAGGGACCACAATACTGACTCCAACGTAGATCAAGAACCTGTCCCCTCTGCGGTCTTCTGACCGTCGAAAGACGGCCGACCAGATCATAAAGGAATACCAAATAACCGTCCCCTCCAATTCACCCATCGAGTCTAGCGCCCAGGGTCCGGCTACAAACCCCACGGCTCCAACCCTCGCGACAATTCGCAACTCCCTCCTCCCCGAAAACTCACTATCCGCTCGCTTCACAACGACATCAGGCCCTCAACTCCGCGAAGTTCAAGGAACCGTTTTTGTCGGCGCTCACCCCGGAAGCGAAGAACGAGCTCTGTGGTTCAGGTTAGACCAAGGCCCGGGATCCGATGGCCGCCTCTACCCCACTGTCTATACGCTATGGCATAACCCGAACATCGTGCCTCTTCTTTACACGCCGGAGATGGTGATGAGAAAGTTGCATGGTGGTGCGGATCTGATGACGCCTGGGATCGCCAACGACCCGCCGTTTCCCGAGCGCGCGGTGAAGGGTGCGGTGGTTGCTGTGGCTGGTTTGGATCGGTATACGGTTCCGTTATTTGTTGGGGTTTGCGAGATTAATATTGCGGGGCTGGAGGAGGTGCAGGGTACAAAAGGGCATGCGGTTCGCGGTGTTCACTGGGAGGGCGATGAGTTGTGGGCTTGGAGCTCGTCTTCTCGTCCTGGCCAGCCGGCCCCGGAGTATTTGGAAGGCTGGGACGAGGAGATTGAGGAAGGTCAAGAAGAAGGTGGCGAAGAGGTCGATGTAGTGAAGGAAGGGATTGATGAGTTGGCGTTGCAAGATGGACAAGCCGGCGATGGCGAGGAGCCCTTGGGAGAGTCGCCTGAGCAGCCGGAGGAAGCGCCTGCTGTGGAAGAAAAGGAACCGAAAGCAAAGGGTATGCCGTCTCTTCTAGTCGTTCTCAAAGGGATGCTAACTATGAGCAGAAATCGATGATGCTTTTGTGAATGCTTTTATCTATGCTCTCTACAAACTCAAGCAAGACAACCCAACAGTGAAAAACCACAACATATTGCTTCCTATGCAGCCATCACAATTGATCACCTTCATCACCCCATTCTTGCCGATTCATACCCCTCAGCAAGCTCAATGGTATAATATCAAGAAGACAACCTGGAAGAACGTCAAGAAGTACATCAAACACTTGCACAAACTTCAGCTGGCATTGGCAAAGGATCGCAGTGGAGGTGAGACCGTCATCCTCGACGTGGACTTCAACGACCGTTTAGTTCAGCAATTTGTTCCATACAAGCTTCCGTCCAAAAATGCCTTAGACAAAGCGGAGAAACAGGCTGCCGCTGCGAATAAGAAGCCTGCCCCCACAGAAGATGACCCCTCCATCGGCCAAACATTGATTGTTCAGACTCTCTACCGGCCAACGCAGAAGTTGACGCCGACGATATTCCCAGCTCTATCTGCCACTAACCCCAGCAACTATTACAAATACTCCGACGTTTCCAACCAACTGGACCAGTATCTCCAATCTCAAGACCCACCACTCATCTCCAAAGAAAACCGCCGCATAATTTCCCTCAATCCTTTCCTCGCCAACACCATCTTCTCATCTTCGTCAGGAGAAGACAGGAGCACACTTGCCCGTAGAATGACGACTCGGGATGGTCTCTTGAAACGACTTGTGGAAGACCATTCTTTCCTGGCACCACACTACGTGATTCTCAAACCCGGCCAGACGCTCTCTGATGTCAAGCCCAAAGCTGGTGCGGCACCCAGGGTGCACGTCACACTTGAGCGTCGAACAGGCTCCAAGACCGCTACCAAAGTATACGGCCTAGAGATCTTTGGTGTCATTCCCAACTTGCTGGCTGAGGAATTGCAGAAGAAGTGCGCGAGTAGCACCAGTGTCACGCAGGCCACGGGAGCCGCCAAGGGAGTTATGGAGGTTTTTGTGCAAGGTGATCAGAGACGGGCTTTGGAGACTGCATTGGTTCGACGAGGTTTGAAGACACAATGGATTGAGGTGGTGGATAAGACAAAGAAGAAGAAATAGTTGCCTTGCTGTATGTAATGATTGATGAACCAGTCTGAGCAAAGTTTTTGACTTGCTTTGTGAATACAATAGAGCTCAGACTTTGTATACATGACGTACGGCATAGTATCTTCTTTGCTAATTGATAAAGTTGTTAGCATAGTAAGGCTCTAATCTTGACATGTAACAACAATTCTACCAACCACGGCTTTGTTGGTTGGAATCAAGACTCACTATAGAAGCCATTGGCCTCCCTGCCTTATTCCCTCTTCCCTTCCCCAATTCATCAGCAATCACCACCATAATTAAGGAGCCAAGCAAAAAGAGACCAAGAAACCACCCCCCAGGCCTGTGTTGACGAAAACAACGCCCACCCCCCCCCCCCCCCCTCTTCCAAACTATTCAAGCTCCCCTCGACCCAACCCCCAATCTCACCACCCTCCTCTCCTCGAAAGGCCAACGCTTCTTCTCCCACCCCAACTTCACTGGCACAGCCGACCCCAACAACCTCGACACCTTCTACATCCGCTACAGCTTGCAAAGGACAAAGGAGCAAGCCCCTCTCAAGACCCGTCTCAACCACCTTGTCCTAGAGCCGCTCTTTGAAGCCTTCTACGAACAAACCGACACCATGCTCCAGGAGGCCGAAGAATCAGGTAGTGCAACAGAGCATTATAAGGAGTTTGAGGGTGGTTGCTGGGCACATTGCTCGGGACACTCGGCTGCTGTAATTTCCGCGGAGTTTGTGGATGGGGAGTCATTATATTTCGAGATGAATGAGTTTGAGCGGTTTTGCGGCGAGGATGCACAGTCGATAGGGGGTAGGTACTGGCGGGACCCGAAGACGAATAAAAATAGGGGGCATAAAAAGGCGAGTAAGGAATAGGTGGAGGATGCGATTAGCTGTGTATTTGTTTTAACATGAGATGACGACAATCTGAAATGCTATGGTATGCTTTGCGGGGTTGATAAACAGACTTGTTCTTTGGTCTTCTTCTTTTCCCCCCCATGTTCAAACATACTCAATTGAACATTTCTTTTGCAGTTTCTACACCATACATCTATAATGACGACCGGAAGCTGCTCTTGCACCCACATCCGCTACAACACCACGCGCCCCCCGACCAAACTCGTCAATTGCCACTGTACAACCTGTCGCAAACAATCCGGCGCTCCCTACCAAACATGGGCGCATTTTGATGTCTCCCAAGTAACCTGGATCACTTCCCCACCAACAACCCGCTCCTCCAGTGCCATCGCAACACGCGGTTTTTGTCCGAAATGCGGGTCGAGTCTTACTATGGCTTACAAGAACATGCCAGAGTTAATCGGGATACCGGCGGGAACAATTGACCCGGGAAGTGATGGGGAGGAGATCCCAAGACCGGATTGCCATATTTTTTTAGAGGAGAAGGCGGGGTGGTTTGAAGTGCCGGGGGATGGCCTGGAAAGGTTTGAGAGGCATTTCATGGGGTAGGGTTGGTGTGGAAGTTGGGTGTTTGCCATGGACCTTTTCTGGTTAACTAGTATTCTTCGGATTAGTAAGTTAGCGGGATGTCCAAAGCGATTCGCTTTCGTTTTCAAATTCAATAGTTTGCTAACGGTTATTTAAGATGAAACGGGGCAATGGCCTCCTTTTCTTTAGGGGAAAGCAGAGCTGTAGAGATCCATGCGCTAAATGTCGATTGTGCCGGACACAGGGACCTGTTAACATGAAACTGGGTTTTTCCTTTTACACCAATAAAGGTATTTCCAGGAATGCTTTAAAATGGCTATGACTGAAACAATTGGCATTTGGTGCCTAGTTGAAGACAAACAATCATGATTAACAAGATGTTACACTTTAGATGAATGAATATGGACAATTTCCTTTTGAAAGAACGGCTACAAAGCTCTTCCTTCAAGGACCGAAACATAGAACTTGCCAATAGCCTTGTAGAGTACGGCTCCTTCCGCAAAACCGTCAAAGATCAAAGAGTTGATACCATTCCACACTACCATTGGCTATGAAATGAACAATCATCATCATTCATCTATTTACTCTCTATAATATTACCCTATAACAAATCCAACTTATGTACTCTTCAATGTCTTGAATTTGGACATAAATATGGCCAGGAATTCTTCCAGAACCTCTCCATCATCAATCAATCAATCTCTACTCACTCGATGACCCTCAGAAAACAATCACCGCCAGTTTCCACTGCATTCCCACCGTTTCAACAGCTTTAATCGAGCCATCAAATACCCAGATACTGGCACCTCTGGTTCCCCTGCTTCAACTCCAACCTCACCGACGAACGCAACGTCTTCTACGCAATGCTTCGCAACATCGACTCCCACCGCGTGATGATTATGCCCGACAGCAGCTGCAACAGAAAAAGATGATTTCCTTGAGGTATGCCTCATTGTTAGGACCCCTAGCACCGTTGATGGGTACTATAAAGTTTTTTTCTTATGCGCATGCGCAGGCTCGTGAGGATTTGCATAGTGGTCGGATTCTGCCGTATACAAGGCTTGTTTTATATTGGCACAAAGCTTTTTTGAGAAATTAGAGATCGGGGTATCTAGGGACTCGAGGCAATTTGATCAATTTCAGAAGGTAACCTGAGTAAACGGCAAGTGCGGAATGAACGATTATCGGGGGATATTTTGTGCGGGCGGTGCTATGGAGAGAAAGGTCGGTGTTTCGTATATTTTTTATTTGTAGTTTCTGGTCCATTTGGCGTTATCAGTAGATGGTTGGCACTACTTGATAGAGTGAAGGAACCTGTTAGACTGATTTCAATGCATACTTTTTCTTACAATAGCCGTTTCTCATCATAAGCCTCAGTAGACCCTCTAGAATAACGAGAGCCTTAAATTAGAAATTTTTAAAGAGCAGTCGAGAATATAGCCACAGCCTTTGATCGGTGCCTCTTCTACCTTAATGTCAGCTCCGCTCTTTTCTAGTAACTACATTATGCACTCGAGTATTCGATATGCCGGCTGCTCTATGCTCCACCAACAACTCAAGTATTTCTTGATCGTTTGCTAGTTATATAAAGTGCAGCGTTCTGTTATGGGCTTTCACTTTCACGGAGGCTCGGCACTATCTAGAGCAACTTTGATATCGCATACTTCAGATATTCATATACGAGCATAAGCGCAGTGTTTCCGATCTCCCGGTGTATCCTAGTCTTTTCATGAAGCGGAGGATATCATTCCTGTTGGTAAAAGGGCATTAATCGTAGATAAAAACTAATTAGAATGCAAAATCCCGGTGATTTGGAACGCACAGTTACTAATGCATCAACAACAAATATGTGTCATTGATCAGCGAAATCCATTAAAAATTCTCTCAAATATCACTTGACGGCTTTGCAAAATAGTGGTCTGATAGCTACTGATATACCGAATGGCGAAATGTGGGCTTTCAATCTCCTTGGATCGAATGGAGAAGATCTTAGGTTACAAGGTCGCCTGTCTAGACGATGCTTACAATGATAAGCAACGCTTTTGTTCAAACCTCACAGCAGTTTCCTTTGGCGTATACGAAAGGACAAGAAACAAACTCGACGAATGCTCCAGAACAAAACGGCACAATTATTTTGCAACAGCCCTAGAGAGCCTTCATCTCGGGCCAGGTGTAAGCCATGTGCGTGTTATTGTTCATCTCTTATTGTCGACTTTACCTTCAGGCGATTCAAAGAACAATCCCGGCTTCCGCAATTTACATGATAGGATTGATCAAGTTGATATCCCGGATCAGTCTGGGGAGCCAGCAGACCGACACGGCTTTGGACGGTGGAACAGCCCTGGATTATGTCAGCTTTATGCCCCCGCACAAACAGACTAAATAGAAAGATCCGTGCTCAACAGACATTTTCTCATCCACCACCATGCCCCAGGCAATCAACGAGGAACAACCTCGCGACCATGCCTCTCCTGCGGTAGATCATGGCATAGACCCTGCTGCTTCCATCAAGTACTGGAACAGTGTTCCCCCCACAGCAAACGGTATGCTGGCGGCCTTGGGGGGGTATCCATGGTACTCGAGAATTGACCTGCGAGGATCTAAGTCCTTCCTAGCTAAAGCTAGACGGCTTGTACCTACGTGCACGACCGAAGGGAAGCTATCAACAGGAGTCGACTGCGGTGCAGGAGTTGGCCGTGTGACAGAAGGCTTTCTCAGCCAAGTTTGTGAAACTGTTGACGCGGTTGAGCCTGTCGAAAAGTTCACGCAGACGCTCCATGAGAGCACCTTGAAGGCATCTGGGGTAGTTGGCGTGATCTATACTGTCGGCATAGAAGCATGGCGCCCGGAGAAAAAGTATGATTTGATCTGGACGCAGTTCTGCGTGGGGCATCTGAAAGACTGGCAACTGATTGAGTATGTAAGACGATGCCGTGATGCCCTGACGGAGACTGGAATCTTGGTTTTCAAAGAGAATCTTTCGACAGATCCGAATGGCGATGATATGTATGATGGTTTGGACAGCAGTGTGACCAGGACAGATGCAAAGTTCAGAGACATTTTCAGAGATGCTGGAATGAATGTGATTGTGTCAGAATTGCAAACGGGCTTTCCCAAAACATTCAAGCTTTTGCCAGTCAGATCCTATGCTTTACGATCCAAGGCATAAAGCTGTACCATTTTGCCGCGGTGAGTGCGCATGGCTGGTTATTGCGCATACACCAAGAACAAAATATTTTTGATCATCAATCAAGGTCTAAATTCAATGTACTATAAAGTCACTTCGGCCCTACCTATTTCAATTCATGTATCGTGGCAATTATACATATTTATGCACAATTATGCAAGAATAGATAATCAACACACGTGATTCCAAGGACCTCGGCTTATCGTCCCAACAAAATCGCGACTTTCAGCTTACCTGTTGAGGATCGTGAGGCTGATTGTTTATCAGCTGCCATTCATTTTTTTTATTAGATCTTGTCCGATATATCTTAAATACATTCTTTCGATTTCAATTGCAGTTAATTAATGCGCCTTTCTTAATACTTTGCTGGATTTGACATATCCGTACGGAGTACATTCCATGTCCCCGAGATCGTAATACATGTCCAACATGAACATTCCGATCTCCTTACCTATTGACAACATACGCCAAGTTCTGTCATCCATAGTCCCGCTAGCGTCGTGGAAGACCCTGGCATTATTCTTAGCTTTGATCAATCTGAAGAATCTCCCTTTCGTCTGGCACGTGAGTATATTGTTTACTCGGTGGATGGATCACAAGCTAACTCTCATAGATCCGTCTTCTCCATGTATTCCTGAGGAATATTCGGTGGAAACCAGACGCTCCATTTTACCCGAATGGCAAATCCACCACCGCCAATGGCAAACCGATACATCCTGTTTTCGCGTCGTATGGGCTGAGCACCCGCACACCTCTCCTGGAATCAGACTACAACCTCCACAAATCCAACAGCACCTATTTTTCTGACCTGGACATTGCGCGTACTGCACTTGCCACGCGCATTTTGTCCCCTGGTGTCGGGATCCTCAGCAAAGTACTCGATCAAGAGACTATCGAAAAATGCCAGAAGGAAGGCAAACGCGTGCCGAAGAAGTTACCCTGGATGTACATCGCCGTAGGTTCTGTGTACTGCAGTTTCAAGCGGGAGATTAAGCCGTTTGAGCGCGTGGATATCCAATCGAAAGCCGTCGCCTGGGATGAGAAGTGGTTGTACGTATTGAGTTTCTATATCCGTCCTGCTAAGAAGGGTAGCGATGGGAAGAAGACTCTGCTTGCTACCGCTCTCACCAAGTATGTTGTCAAGAAGGGCCGATTGACGGTTCCCCCGGAGCGGGTGCTTCGTACTAGCGGGTTCTTGCCGCCTCGACCGAAAAGTGCTGGTGAGACTCCTATGCCCGTGGAATCGAAAGATGTCTCTGGAATCGTCACGCCTGCGGAAGGGGAGGGGCTCAAGGACACAGCTGGAGTGGATGACTCGCTCGTGCGGGAGGTCTTGAAGATTGATGCGGACCAAGTCCCTGGTCGGGAAACGCTCGAAGAGCAGAAGAAGGCCAATTCGGAATCATGGTCTGCGGACGAGTGGACGTGGCAGAGAATCGAGCAGGAGAGACTGAGAGGGTTGAAGGTGGTGGAGGGATATAGTGCCCTGGATGTGAAACTGCAGCAGGAGTGGGAGTATCAATAAATGCATATGGTCAATTTAATGAGGGACAATCTGGGTATTGGAGTTGATAATAGGCGGCTTTTCCGTGATACTGCTTCTTTTCTATATGAAGCTGCTGCTGATTTTCCACGAAGAACATAGGTTTGCACTTAGAATCAACGGCAACATTATACTACTCACTGCTAGTAAGAAACACCATAGGCCCGGTTCATCGAGCCATTCAGATTGATAAGAATCCCGAAGACTATCCCCGAGTAACCCTGATGATCCCTGAATCTTCATTAATTCTTGAAATATCTCATTTAACCTCAACCACACCGGATAAACATCGGATGTAGAACAAGCTATAGGGTTCGGAGGTAATTACCATTTTGGGCAGAGTATGAAGTTGACGACGTACCTTGATCTTATCACCGAGTTTCTGTACCAGTTTCTTCACGCTAATTCAATGTTTCTTCAAAATTGCGATGATCAGGTTACGCGGCCACTACTGTCAGGGCCTGAATGGACTCAATGCCAGTGGCTGCGATGCCCGGAGTCGGACCGGAGTATCACCATAGACTATCTTGATACTGAGGAATCCCCACTTAGGCCCTTGTTTGATGCAGCAACAAACAATGGTTTTTGCCCTGAATTATTAACTCGGATAAAAGGTCAACCGGTTGGAACTATAAAGCTACTAGCCCCGGAGTAAGCGAAATAGAGACAGATCTTCACATCTTTTCATTCGTTCTTCCAGCCAAGATGGTCTTCAAGAGCCTGCTGACCGGTCTGGCCCTGCTGGGCTCAGCATTTGCTGCCAACGAAACCCTCCCTGCAAGACTCCTTGACCTGGGAAATGGCATTATTGGAGGCCTGTACCGTCCATCCAACCCAGACCCAAAGGCTAATGTTGCCATCTTCATCATGCACGCTGAACAAGACTACCTCAACTTCATCGCCTGTACAGAATTGTACAAGCGCGGGTACACGGTCCTCTGCGCCAACAACAACGCCAGCAAGTCCGGAAAGATGACGGACCTGGCCTTCGAAGACATGTTGCAAAATGCCGGCAGCGGCATTTCCTACTTGCGCAATCAGACCTACATCGACAAGGTGGTTGCTCTCGGCCACAGTGGCGGCGGTGCCATGCTGTGGGCTTACCAGAACATTGCAGAGAATGGTGTCGCGGCCTGCAATGGGCCTGAGAAGCTCTACCCTTGCTCGGATGACTTGGCCAACCTCCCCGCTGCAGACGGCTTCATCTCCATCGACGCCAACTACGGCCTGTCAACGATGGCCTTCCTTAGTGTAAACCCGGCTATCACGGACGAAAACAGCGGTCTAAAAATCAACGCCTCGCTAAACCTATACAATCCAGCCAACGGCTACACGCCGAACGGCGCCAACTACTCTACCTCCTTCAGAAAGTCCTACCAGTCTGGTGTTGTCGCTCGCTGGAACCGTATCATCGACCACGCACTAAACCGCAGCAAGGCCATCGCAGCTAGGAACGGCCTCTACGCTGACGACGAGCCGCTGACCATCCCAGACGCTAACTATGTCGGTATGAACAACAAGTTCTTCGCTGAGGATACTCGTTTCCTTGCACACACCACGCACGCCTGGCCTCTTCTGCACAATGGCGGTACCAACAGCACTCAAGTCGTGCATTCTGTCCGTGTCCCTACTGCCATCGGCTCCTTTGCATCCAAGTTCTACGACGGCGCCATCAAGTCCTCCATTAACCGCTTCTTGGAAACATTAGCTATCCGCGTTAACAACTAATTCGAGTACCTTCCCGACGGATTTAAGGGTATCGAGTGGAACTCCAGCCAGACAGCACCAATTTCCTCTGCGGCGGGTGTCAGCGTTCCGATCCTTGCTATGGGTATGACGGGTCACTGGGAGTATCTCAATGCGGAGAAGATCTATCTCAACTCGGGTAGCAACGACAAGTCAATTGCCTTTGTGGAGGGTGCTTCGCATACAATTAACGTCTGCACTGAGTGTGAGTTGTATTCGGGTCAGTATGGGGATACGGTGAAGACATGTTTTGATCACATAGATCAGTGGTTGCACCAGAAGGGGCGTTTCCTTTAATTTATAGCTTGTTTCATACTGCTCATTGGGACGGGAATTGGATTGTACATTAGCTTGTATTGGGTCTTCACTGGCGGAAGTCGTGACTTGAGGTCGACTGAATTGGGAAGGTGCCGATCTTGCCTCTAGGCACATCATTGTTAGACCCCCAAGACACCAACAACCAACTGCCACTCTTGATAACTAGATATTATTACTCTCCTATATTTACCCTTGGATTCCTCCTTACAGTACCCTGTGGAATTCATTCCATATCCAATCTACACAGCTTGCTAGACGCTACCTGAACTCCAGAGTCTGTTTAAACGCTACTCACTATACCATTACCAAATCTATAACAGAATCGTCAAGATCATCCGAGTTTGGCTACTTGATGAACGCTATCATTTGTATCTTTGTCTATCATGCGCCCATTACCCGTGAACTGCAAGTCTCCTGGGACCACCACTTCCTCCACCCATGGGGAAGCGAATTGCTTAATTAAAAGCAACATTTCTTCGGTTGCTTTGAAATAATACATAAATTTTCAACTGTGAATGGAATACCTCTGGCGCTTTCTGGATACGTAGCTCTCCGCCTGTCGCCCAACCACCGCATTGATCTTCCAACCCTACACCGAGATAGCAGAAAAATACCCGGTTAGAACGGGCAAAAGTTGATGAGCTTCTCTGGATCCAGTTTGGAATGGAAAACAGCAAAGTATATCGCACTTACCATCAAACTATGGTTTTCTAGTTGGTGTGAACGTTCGACAATCCTCAATTGGGGTTACTGGTTTTTGAGGTCGTATAAACGAGGGGGACCCGGAGAAGGAATGCTGTCGACGAATTGTGGAATATTTTTGCAGAGGTCGAAGGGTCTGATGCCATACAATTTAGTAATGCCTTTGAACTGCATTGGTACGCTACAGCAGCGTTGGAATAAGTGTCATGGATGTTTTACCAGGAACGTCAGCAACTGAACCTGGAAAGCCGTTTTACGCAAGCATTTGTGCAATCGCTTGCGAGACTCAATCTTCCCGGTACATCTTGAAGAAATGTCACTTGGAAGGTCAGTGACCATGAGAATCTTATATGGGATATGACTGTCACTGTTAAGGAATATTTTGCGCTCGGAGCATTGGGTGGCAATACGATTCAAATAGACCCAATCAAGTTCTACATACATTCATATTTCATTAAGCATTATCCATTATGCCTCTATATGCTCTCCGGCGAAGCACCAGGCTTTTCATCACTTGACTGACCCTCCTCCACTCTCGCCTGCCTCTCAATAACATTCGCAGCATTGTCATCCCCAAACAACGCCCCGATCTCCTCAAGGGTCTGGCCCTTTGTCTCGGGGAACAGGAAATACATAGCCACCAGATAACAAGCGGAGGGGACGATCAGGACGAGATAGAATTTCCACCCGATCTTGTTAAGCGCCACAGGTGCACCGACGAGAGTTACTTCAGAGGCGAGGTAGAAGACCGTGAGACCTAGGGCTACACCCTGTGGACGGAGATGGTTGGGGAAAATCTCGGCGACATAGACATATTGCGTGGCGTCCATGAAGAATGACCACCAGAAAATGTAGAAGAACATAAAGAATACCGCTGCGCGGAGACCGGGCATGTTGCTTGTGTCTAGGTACTCTGCGGATAAGGCGCAGAGGAAGGCGAGTGAGACGATGCAACCCATGGTGCCGATAATGAGGTATGTTCGACGACCGAAGCGGTCGACTGAGAACGCTGTCCAGCTGTTTCCGATCATGGTGAAGCTGTTCCAGCATGCGTTTAGGAGTAGTGGGATTGATCCCGTAAGGCCCAGGTTTCCGTAAATGATCACACCGTAGTTTGTCATGACATAGACACCCAAGAACTGGTCCCCCCACATGAGCAGGGAAGCGACAAGACAGCGACGGCGGTTGGGAGCTGTCCGGAAGAGCTCGAAGCGACGCTTTAGACTAAGGGCTTGGTCGAGGGCGTACTGTTCGTCAATCATATCGAATTCGCGGTGCGCTTTAACGTGCTGCGGGTCGTCAGGGATTTCGTGCAGGCGCTCGAGGATGGATAAGGCTTCTTCGCGGCGGTTTTGCTGGAGGAGCCAGCGGGGCGAGTAGGGAATCCAGGAACTACCTGCCAGGACGATGAGGGGGAAGAGTACCTGCACGGCTAGCGGGAAGCGCCAGGAAAACGAGACGGCGGGACTGTTCGAGGGCATGTGGTAGCAGGCGTAGCCCAGCCAGCCAGCAAGACTGTATCCCATCGAGTACATGACACCGGTCATGGCGACCATTGCACCACGGGTTTCTGCAGTGGAGATCTCTGCTTGGTAGATGGGGACGATGCAAGTAAGAATGCCGGAGCCCATACCGGCGATGAAACGGCCGACCAAAAACATGGCCATGGGCACGGACCCTGCACATAGTGCACCGCCAACAACTAAGACTATTGATCCGAGCTGAATGGTTCGTTTGCGTCCGAAGAGGTCTGCTGTCCAGGCTTGGAGGATTGCTCCTGCGATGTTGCCTGCTGAATTGACGCCGTTCAAGGCGCCGACCATGTTGGTGGTATGGTCATATCCTGGCTCTCCTTCAGCGGCGAGACCGAAGTAATCGTAGAAGCCGGGTTCTCCGACAGTCGAACCGATGATAGCCAGTCCATAAGCACTGGCGATGGTGCTGATGGCCACAAAGACCACGACCCAAGCGTTGTAGGAATTGATCCTGCAGAGTTCTTGCAACATAGTGAACCCCATCTAGTAATATATAGGCTCCTGGAAACACAAAAGGTCTGTTACAAGGAGCAAAGACAAGACGAGGGGGCCCTTGCAATATACATAGTCGAGGATATGCCTCGTCTCATGCGGAGGTCACCATCCGAGCAGGGAACCCCAAAGCAGCAATACCAAGACCAGGGTTCGCAACTACAAGTGGAGTCTGCGGGGGTCCTTGGCATGAGCTTGTTGGCTATAATGCTAAATGCGGGGGTGGGCCTACCAAGCACTATCCGTTCAGGAAGGTCCAGGGAAATCTCATACTGCGTTGGCTTGCAAATGCTTGACTCGGCTATTCTTAAGCGAAACAGCCAAGAGGAGTAACTCTATTACCTCGGCTAATATAATGATCTGCCTATAGTAGACTATTCTTGGCATGGACAATCAGCACCCGCTGATCTGATCTTGAGGATGGCTCGTATTGGACAATGTAGTTCCTTGGCCGTCACAATAGCGAAAACCCCTGCACGTGTCCGGTTTCTGGCCAGTCTTAGAACAAGACTCGACACGGGGCTCGCTACGAGGCGTGATGTGCACCCGGACGTCATAGGAGGTAGCTAAGCTTTGTGCATCACACATGTTGCTATCATCGTACGGGGTAGCTAATTGGGGATGATTGGATATACTGGAGATGTGGCCATGTGCTTCAGGTATCAGAGACCATGGAATTAGTAAATTGCATGTCAGAATGTTCGCGGAAAATAACATTCTCGTGAAAATAGTCCGTGAGGCTAAATTCCTGTCCCTGTTGGACAGCTGTAAATGTCTCATACCGAAATGGGATCTTATGTCAGGTGCCTGTATTCACCAAGCGTCAATCTAGGACAACAACTCGCATTTTTTTGAAATACTTATTCAGGAAACATATGGGGCTGGCGGATTGATTGATCAAACGGGCCTCTTTAATCCTCTCCGCTCTAATAATGAATATTCTCCCAAATCCCTCGAAGAGTCAAACATCCATTTCTTCAATATTTCCCCTTGTCCTAGCCCATCCTGAAAATGGAGTCCCTTAGTCAAGAAATCCTGGAATTAATCATTCCTCATCTCTTTGAAACCCCCCCAATCAAAAATCCCACGCCCGGGGACCCCAAACCAGTTCTAAACGTCGCCCAGTACGCGACCATCTCGCGCAAATGGCAAAACGCAGTGGAACGCTTTACAATGGCGGACATTAAGAAATACAGCACCGATCTGGACATGTTCCGTCAAGTATTCTCATCTCCACGACGAAGAAATTTTTTGCGAAAGCTGGACTATGAAATCGACCTGCCGGCCTACAGCAAGAACCGCATATTCTGTATCGAAAGAAGGAGAGAAATCAAAGCAAACAATGAAGCTTTCAGTCGAGGCGTAACGGACTTTTTTGATGTCATATCCTCCTGGAGAACGCAGGGCATCGATTTAACTCTCGGTGCATCCTCACCTACGGATTATGGTCGGAGACCGCCAGAGCTTGATTCTGGGTTGTCACACGAGCGGTGGAGCTTTGAAGATAACTACCTTACTTTAGACGAGGTTTCTTTGTCCCAATCACCGTCTATTGAAGCCTTAAGTATTGCCAACGGAACACGCTACCTGCATCCTTCGGCTATTGGGAAGATTATCGCCTCATTGCCCAGTCTGGAACGGTTGACTCTGGAACTAAGCGCACCCAAGGCTAAACAGGTAGAGATGCAAAATGAACATAGGCTATGTAAGATTGATATGCCACTCACTAATCTGAGATGTTTACTGACTGTCAAAAGGCCTTGCAAAGGCATTGGAGTCGCCATCAATAAGTAACCTGCGGACATTGAACATCTACACCGAGCGAGGCATTCCGTGTAACCACAACTTCAAAAACCGACCCGATGATCCCAACTACCCAGATGGAGATGTCTTGAATGTTGCCATTCGCAAACTGGCAGAGAACACTCGTCTGACAAACCTCAATCTCACCGAGGATTGGCTGGTCTCACCTGCACTATTCAACGGAGAAAAAACATTTCCATATCTTGAGAAAGTGCAGATTCAAGGAGCGCTCATTACTTACGATGGTCGATGGTATTACACCGGAAATCCTACCGATGTCGAAGCATATTATGAACAGTCTCGGGATGATACATACGATGTCGATGACTCTGACTCAAACTCTTCCTTTAATTCTGAATTCGGGGATTCTCTGCCAGAATGCAGAGAGGTCCTTTTGAACGGTGGCGACCCCCAACATATGTGGAGGACACAGCCAGATCCGCAGATGTTCGATCCTCTCATGAAGATAATGGCTACTGCAGTACTCCGGATGCCTTCACTACAGAATCTCTACTTCTCGATGGGGATGAGTTCTATGTTCTATCATGGTATCACATTTGAATACTTGAATCCCGGAGAGCACCCCGAGTGGTTTGAATACCCTCGAAAGACCGTCGAGCTGGATACGACCCGGTGCTACGTAACAATTATGCCCGAAGCAAGGTGGGATGTTCCTGGTGATATCGCAACTCTGTGGAAGAAAATTGTCGGAGATAAGGGTGTCGTTGCTGTTGAGCCTTTCCCAATGTAATATAATTCAAACTATCACCAGGGATCATTTCTTGATGAAAAATTGATGTACTTGAACTGATAAGGAATACGAATCGATCGTGATTGCGAAAGAGAGAGTCTGTCTAGGGAAACAAGATCTGATCAACATTAAAGTAGTTGTATAGTTATCGATTCCCATGTACTTATTTCAGCGAGTTATACTATCATCGACCATGCAAGTGAACATCTCTGCTTATATCTAGTTGTAGAAGCCTATGTTTACATGCTTTTAAGTGACTCCCAGAAATTAGAAATCGACACCTCATCCATCAGCGCATCAATGGCAATATAGATAAAAACATAGTTTCTTCGTCAACTTGCCACCCATAATTTTCGGGAACTGGGACCTCGTCACCAAAGGCACTGCACTTCCGTGGTTGTGACATCATGAGACAATGGATGCGGAATGGAAATGAAGCTCGAATTGCTCTATCCTCCTACACTAATCTAAAGGGGAAAGGCAACATATTTTATGGCCTATGAGAACAAAGAAAAATGGCACAAGGCTAAGCGAGATATGGCAAACAGGTCTCATAACATGCACCATTCCGGTCACCGACGTCCCTTCAGCTGTAGAGTCGGATATTCCGGCAGTTTGAAGATAAAAAGCTGTAGGTTGCATGCTATCTATATATGCTCATCGTGGCGTAGCTAGATAAATACATATTTCTCCTAATTGTTTATTATGCGACCTCAATGTGTCGAGAACAAATTGGTTGCCATACAAAAGGACACAATGACTACAGAAGACGCAAAATAAGCAGTGACTGCGCAATACCTATAATAACAGAAAGTAAAAACAGATTTGGTAAGCGAATTTCAACCCAAGTTTGACCAAGTTTGCAAGCATTAATTATTTCATGAAACTTTTAATTTCCAAGCCTTACGCCCGCATTGGGAAGGAGTATCTTTGTCAGGGTACAGGATCAGGTACAGATATATTAGGAATTGACGAACAGGTTAAGCTACAGGTCAGGCTATCTACAGATACATAGACAAGACGCAGCTCGAAGAGCTGCGATATTTATACAGAGAACCAGGATTTTTAAATCTGGCTGACTTGCTGGTGGCAATCTTGTATTCTTGTGCTTGATTGTAAGGAAAGGCTTGTGTTGCATCAGTAATCCAATTACACTCAGAGTTCCTGATGGCATGTCTGAATATTAAGATGTCTTTAATGCTCTCTTTAAAGTGTAGGGGAGTGCTGAGTTGATGGCCTGGGACATGGGTAAAGCGCCAAATATCTCACAGTTCTTTAATGCAATCGCTGGCGAAGGCACCATCAAGAAAGGCGAGTTCCAATATGTCTTGGATAACACAAAGGCTAAGGTTATTGTTCCATTCTGTGTATGTGAAGACTGGTCTTTGGAGAGTTAGGAGATGTCAACACTTATGGGGTCTTAGACTCACAGAACACCCTTGTTTCTCTTGCCCTTATTCAGTCTATGTGTGACCCTCATGAGAAGTACCTGGCATACAGGATCTTCTGGATGCTTCACCATATAGAGCTCAATATCCTTCCACTTCAGTGCTGTCACAACCTGGCTTCCCTTGTATCGTGTGACGACTCATATTTGACGACTCATATATGACGGCTCAACACTGCAGTAATGAATGATACATCGCAAATGCTGCTACTCAACCATGTCGGCAACAACCTCTATAAAACCCCTTCATTACCTAGATAGATTTCCTCTTCTCTTTTCTTCTCCAGATTCGATATTCTCGTCGATGGCTACAATAGTCTAGATAGGAATTCAGTTCGTTATTATCTACTATTCCGAGCCTGTGACATATCGTACCTAAGGTTCTAGTTAGTTGTATTTCGAGACAGGACACTTACCCTAAGTATCTTCCAAGTAATCGTATGCTCAATGACCATCCGGGTCCGGTTCAGTAAGTCATATGCGTCGATAGGTATATCGCTCCCTCCAGGCTCCGTAAGATAATCAACAAGTAGAAACGGTAAAGGTAACAAATAGAGAAACAAGACCAACCGAGCACGTATGCTGGGTTGTTGGT